ACCAATTCCTATAATCGGACAGTGTGTTACAATGAACGGACATGGACAAAATAATTCGTTCAAATTATCTCTAATAAACGTACAAACTTTCGTAAAATGTGTAAAGAAATTGTGTGCAATTTGTAGTTCCCGTTTTTTATACTTTTGCAACATGTTGCTGAAGAATATAATAGTGTATTTTCTAAGTTGGTAATTTCGTGTGCGGAATCGATGAGAATGTTGGAAAAGGCTTACGGTCGAGAGATTGGTGATGAAATGCCTCGTTCTGGATGACTTTCCACCTCTTAAACTGATGAGAATATTAAAAAATTGAAGGATATGGCAAGAGAGCTTGACATCTCTCGTGAGTGGACATTTTAGACATGAAAAGCGTACTTGCTCGGCTTGTCCCAATAACGCTGAATTTTTATCATTCAACAGATTTGGCACCGCGTGATTTTTTTTGTTCCCATAACTGAAATTGCCCCTCCGTGTATTATGTTTTCAGTCGATCGAAGAGATAAAACAAAATTCGCAAAAGAAGCTGACGGCCATCCCAAAAAGTGCAAACAATTTGGAAAAGGTGGACGTGGCCACTCCTTCTAATAAGCAATTGTACACATCACCCAAACCACTAAAGCTACAACAACCAAAGTCGCCTAGATCAAATGTTATACGAACTCTTACCAAAAGTGTGAAAATTGATGAAATCGTATGATAACTCCGCCCAATCTTCGTTATAACGGTTCTGCGATAAATCAATGGCCAAATATGCCAGAGCCATTAAAATTTGACAAAAGACGTGGACCTTAACACTTTTAGGTGAAATCTCATATCTATTTCAACCAAATTTGGTACGTGCCATTTGTCCGACATTCTTACGTTACATTGTGAAAATGGGCGAAATCAAACTGCAGGCGCCTATTTGTAATATAATACAAATAATAAATCCATTTGAAACTTTCACTTTTCAGTATACAAATATTCATCACTTGCTTAATCCTTATTAAATTGTGGAATAGTGCGAAATTGGCTAGTATCATCGGAATAGATTCAAAAAATTAATAAATGGATTCCTAAACTAAATATATTCGATAAATGATGTCATATCTAATCTTCGTCTGCACCCTTACTTAGTTTTTAATGCTTAAGATGCAAAAGTGTAATATTTCGGTAGTATTCTTTGGTAGAAATAATGAATAACAAGCGTTGTTGCTATTTTTTCTAAATTCTAAACCCTTTTTGGTATACGAGTTCGTAGATAGGTGTAATTGGACTAATACCACGTCCAAAACGTCATTAATAGAAAACCTATACATTTCCATAACCAAGCCGCTAACATGTTTTATTTATATACTATATTTCCTTAACTGCCCACATTTAGGCAAAAATTCATAGCTTGGACCTATTCTACTGATTTCAACCAAATTTGGTATATAATATTATCCTAACATTCCTACATGTGAAAATAGGTCTTTCACTTTCCAGTATACAAATTAAGAACCAATCAATGTATCGATAAAAATTTGACAAACAGAGCAACCAAGTTAACCCCCAAAAATTATCGAACTTGGATATAACTTTTTAAGAACTCTGACATCAAATATGTGGATATATTATTGAAATTAGGAGAATTCTCTTGCAATAATACTTGTAGTATGTCTGTAATGTCACAAATGGTTTGAATCGGGTGAATATTTTCCTTTGCCCCTACCTAATAGAAATATTTTCAAACTTGGCTGACTTTATAAAATATCAAATTTGATTACTATTCATTCACGATTTCATCGAGTTATGAATTATTTTGCAACATTCTTTAAAATGTGACACCTATATATGTATGTACRTATGTATATTARGATATGGCAACTTTGATCCTTGCAAGTTGCAAGAGTATGAAATGCTCGGTTACGTACGAATTTAGTTCTTCCTTACTTGTTGGTTTTATTTAATTATTTAAACAAATTACAAGAAATTTTTAATGAAAAGATGAAAAATTTTTAAATCTCACAGACAGCAAGATTTAAGAGGCAAGGATTTGCCAGAACCAAGGTAAATGAATTAGATCAAGAGAAAATTCTTGCGCTTTCCTTAAATTGCCATACTATTAGATGCTAGTACTCCGCTTAAAGATTCTCTGACAATTTTTCTAGCAATCACAAGTACCACTTGTATTTAGTAACTTTATTCATAAGTAAGATAATGGTACAAACTGCGCATGCTTTTGTTTATGTGATTGAGTTTTTATCATATCTTTTTATATGGTATGTGGCTATGTATGTATCCACTTGAATCATTCTATTTATTTTTTAATAAAACTTTCCTTTTTTTTGCTGCTTTTCGTTTTCCAGGCTAATAAGGATAATAAAAACACACCTCCCCGCGATGGTCCACCACCAACACCAATCACCAAAGGCTTAAGTTTATTAGCAACACCAATTGTCAAAAAGGAGAAACGCCAAAGCAGTTCCCGTTACAATGTTACAAAAAATTGTGAATTAACAGCCTTGAGCCCTCTCAATGAAAGTAAGTAAACACTGAGATAGAAACGTATTTGCGTATTTTTGAAATATACTATGTAACATACGTCTGAGTTTATACCCGGATACTTTTGTTGTGCATTATCGGCAACATCCATTTTGTTGTTCACATAGGCGACTGGACTTAAAAATGCTAATCATGCCGAGTTACGTATCAGAACACAAATCGTTTTGTCTAAGCACAAACGACTCGGTGCTCATCGTCCAACAAACTACGAAACGCGGCAACAAACGTCTTCTTGTATGAACCGGCAATATGTATAATATTTTGAGTTTTAAAACATTCATAATTTTTTAATATGCATTGGGAGTTTTTTAGAAAAGGTATATACTATTTAATTTCGGAAGTGCCACATTGGAAGGATATTATTTTCTTTACAATTAATTTAGCTCCTACAAATAAATGAGTTCCTAGTTCTTAGTAATGTCAACCATTAATAGGAGTGGTACTAATGGAATTGTACTATTTCTTTAATCACTGTTTCAGCTAAATTGTTTAAATAAGTTGCTGTACCTTTGTACATGCATGTGTAAATCAGTGTTGCCGCAAGGATTTCCGTGTCGTCTACCGATTGTTTAAGGAAAATACATAGAGGGAAATATATCCTCTCAATTATTTATAAACTAAGAGGAATATTATATATATTAAGATTTGGCACGATTTTTAATTTTAATTATATGTATGAATTTATTTAACCTATAAAATGAAAAATTCAAAACCCTAACAATGACATTAACTATATATGTACATTTATATTTAAAATATTTAAAGCAATAATTTACTGTTATAATATGTATGTATGTACAGCATTTGCTTCCAGACCGCGGTCTGTACCAAGCCATTTATACTATTTGAATCCTCATATATGTATATTAGGGTTAAGATTCTAGAATTAATGTAATTACCAAGTTATTCCACTTTAATATCTAAATATAAATATACATATATGTCAGGAAATGAGAAAATTAAACTAATGTTGCATTGAAAATATTTTATTTCACAGTACTATAATATTCTCCAATTTAAACCGAGCTTTTATTCAAATATATTTAAATATATTTTAATTATAAAAACATCTTTGCATTATTCTCTCTCTTGCTCTCGTTAACAATATCCTTGGGATATATATCCTTTAATAAACTGTTGTGTGCGAGAGCACCATTTTTATGAATCTCCCCATGTGAGTGCACACATTGAATATGCGACGTCAAAAAAGTCTCCCTTGTTTCTATAAAGGGAGTAACATGGAAAAACATATTGATTTTCCGACAAGTACGACACGGAGTGCGTTAGTGAACACACAGTGTTCTTGCTCTGCGGTTGGCTAAAGTCACAAAGAATATACATATTTATTAATTAACAATTTAGACCGAAAATAGCAATTTGGCTAGTATTTTATGGCTTTCTCAGTGTGCGATAAATAATTGAATTTAAGAAATCAATAGGATTGGTAAATGAAGTAGAAATGTTATACGTTGAACCCACGTATCAATTGATGGCCAACACCTCTCAGTGGTTAGTTAGTGGTTGGTGTTGCGGCGAAAAGAAATGTACCTACATACATACATATGTACATATATGATTGAACCCATAATAAGTTACTGCGTATTAAATATGATTGATTTGGACTGTTTCGGCATTCCTATTTTGTTATACTGACCGCTCCGGTGTTCGAATTTTCCAGTCGTGGATCCGAGATGAATGATATGTGTGATGATGTGATGTGCGGTCTTTAGCCAGGATCCAAAGTGCTGGCAGAAATAAAACAATAATAACTACAGGTCAACAATTTCAAAAACATATGCTTACACTCATAATACACATGAACATAGACTATAGATTAGTACAAAAATATATACAGTTTAAATAATTGATTTCAAATTTTTTCGCTACTAATTTTTTATGCTAGTGACTAGGGTAATAGTGTATTGATATGTATTCTATGTATGCACATATGTATCTATGTACATGTGGAACATATCCAATTGGTAATATATTTATATATATTATAATTGTGTTGACCTTAGTTAAAAGTATGATCCTAAGAAACTCACAGCTATGTATTAACTCTTTTACTAAAGTATACGTGCCATCTCGCGAAATCATAAAATCTCATAATTTTTATTGCTATACCATAGCAACAACKCATTAATTATGTCAATTATTCCATAAACGCGCTTGTAACTTAAAACATATCTATGTGCAAAAATGGATAGGTATCTTTTTTAATTGGATTTATTTTAAATCTTATGTGAAATGAGCTCAAATAACTCTTTGCAGCCTTATTCTTAGAAAGTTAAAAATTATGTACGTATGTACATACATATATATACATGCTTCCTAAATAGAACGAAGTATACTTTATTTTATTTTTGTTTGCTTAGCAGAGATATTACTATTCCACATACTTGTACACACATATGTTTTACTTTTGCAATATGTTCATTTAACGCATACGAAGGAATATTCAATAAAGAATAATTTTTTCAAATACAAAGTTGATTTGAAAATCGAAAAATTTTAATTCAATAAATGCAAATATTGCTATGTGAATATCAGGCGACGATAAGTGCGACTAAAAAGTTAAATACAAAACATCTGAATCTCCAACATTTTGTAAACTTTCTCCAGTATTCAATTTGCAAAAATCTTCGAGTATTATTAAAGCCGAAATAGTAATAAAGTGTTCTTTAATCGCAATGTGAATTAATACCAAATCAGCAACAGTTTTGATATGAAATGGTATTCAATGCTAAATACTATGCGGGCAACTCAGCCGGCTTTAAGCAACTATCACAACAACATTGTGCACAACAATTCCACGTGCCGCCATCACAGTTGTGTTCAACAAAAACTCGACATACAGGTAGTGATCTAAAACCATCGACTGATGTGTGTGGGGGTGACTCCACAACATCAACCTCAATTACTGTATCTATCGACCCAGTGAAATCGAGTGATAGTCATCAAAACCAAAACATTAACAATAACGGAACTAACATTAACGACAAAAAAAATCAAACAGTAGGCTTTAAATTTAGCTCTTTAACAGAAAAGCTTGAAAACCCAACATTGTTGTCTATTAAAACAAGTATTGCATCCAACTCAACAACAAGAACTTTGGCTTCGACCTCAACACTTCCATCGGCTAGTTCCCTGACAAATTATTATGGCTTAGGTATACCCAAGTCACCGTCATTTCACAGTGGACTTGATCAGTTGGCCAGCAAGAAAAACGACTCTTACAAAAATCGACCGCAATTGTCAAATGCGAACAGTTTTAAAGACAACGCTAGCCCACACATTGTTAGCGGCGAACTAACAAAACAAAGGATTATAGTAACGAATAACAGTTTATTATTTAATACCACAAACGTTGAAGAAATCAAAGCTAAATTTCTAGTTGACGAAACCTTGGTGTCTGGAACACATTTGGTTAATAATCGCAATTCTCTTACGTCCACAATGTCACAGCATCAACAGCGACAAAAGGCCGAAATACAGGCAATGGCGGTTGCATCACAATCAATTACAACAAGCAGCAGCGCGTTATCATCTATAACAACAAATTCTATTGGTTCAGGTATAGTTTCCGCTGCCGTTGCATCTATTTACAATTCAAGCAACAAATCTTCGTCGACATATACTTATAATCCCGATACCGTAGCCTCTACATACGCTTCCAACAGCACATCATCATATTCCTCATCGTCATCTGCATGTATATCGAATTCGGCCGGAACAAGCACGCCAGTTGTTGGTGGAATGCCTGGTAGTGGCATTGGTGGTGTTGGCGTTGGCGGGATTGCCACCAATAGCAACAACACTGCCATTGTCACCTCGTCAACGACGGCAACGTCATCTTCACTGGTTGCGACACTGACACAGCACTTTTCAGCTGCCACATCGGCTACTTCACTGCTTTCAACGGCTGCCTCACCATCATTAACCACTAATAATAAGGTTTGATTGATTTCATTCATATTTAACCTATCAGTAAACACATACGTACATATGTAAGAACTAAGGTTATGATGAGAATTTACTATTTAATACAATTATGTAAAATTAAATTACTTCATTATTTAGGTATTGAGATTAATACAAAAATTGTATTAATGAAACCGCAAAACACTCGAATACATACTAATTAAAACTCGGTACTTACTTCAAAATTGCCCTAATTCTGGGGCTTTCACTTTTAAGTATCATTTCATCAAACATTTTAAATTTGTTGAATTATTCAGATACCCAACCATTTCACTCTAGTAATTCGTAATTGAAATACTTTGATCAACAAAATATTTTGCGATTATTTGCATAGATCTACACATACATATGTACTATATGTTAAAAACATCCTTTAATCATCCTTTCACTTCATTGCATTATAAACCTTAACCAACAGAGCATTAGAATCATCAATATCTAGTTTAGGAGCTCAATATATTTGTTGACATAGATGTTTTGACGAAACTCCCGAAACTGAGTATGCATGCTGTTTTTTTTTTTTTTTTGAAAATGTTTAATAGTTTCATTTACAAACAACAAATAAATTATTCCAGGCATTTTATTAAGGGGTTACAAGGTTTCCTTGAGTAAAAAACGTCCTATTTTCAATAATTTTATTTTAATGTAACAAAATACAACAAAAATGAATATATTTTATTCAAACTTTTAATTATCCAAAATTTCAAAGAAATATATTAAAAAATCGGCCATTAAGACGTCATTTCCGGCAGTTCTCTGAAAAAATGGATGACTCCGCGTTGACACTAGGGTAGGATCATCCAAAAAAAAAAACTTCTTTAAATGCAAAAATCTTGTCAACCGACTTTGAAAGCACAGTTCCGAAAAAATCGCATTTAAAGTTTTAAGTGACTACAGCGTCTACCAATAGAGATGACATGTGTTTGACAGTTCTTGACTTCTATATTTGCTTACGGCTTTGTGTAAAATTTTGTCAGATTTTTCATTAAGGTTTGACATTTCATCACGTCACGTATTTTTCGTAAGGGGCCCYATATGGCTTAATATGTTCGTCAACAAACAAAGTTGTTACCATTGGAGTGAGCAAACCCTTGTGTGGTTCAGGGAATGCAATTGCATCCCCAAAAAGTGACCTTTGGGTGTAGATTGTGGTATGATGACATCATGTAACCGTCAAGACAGTTCGTCGCCTCATGCGCGACGGAGTAATTTCGAGAAATAGTTAAGTAAAATGACCCCTAAGATAATGTGGAAGCCAAGCCGAAATGTTCATCGAAAGGGGTTGACACTCTTGGAACGATTTAACATCACATCTTTCTTGTTTGCTAGACCCTTTTTGATTAAAAAAATATATATACATATATGTTAATATTAGCGCAGCTTTTCAAGGCTGTATCTCCGAAACTATTACACGGATCAATTTGAACATTTAGAACAATATTCTAGATTATTTATTTATGTAATGAAAGCCATGTAACCCCTGAGACAAATGATATAAAGTCAAGTAAAACACTTACTTCAGTTTTAAGATACATACATATATGTATATACAGTCAATATATCTAGCATGCCGCCCCTTATCCTCATCCTCTTTATATATTAATATATATTGAAAATATGTGTATATAAATATATTACTTAATCTCTCCTAACCAACCAATCAATAAAACAAAACCATCTCATCTCATATATATTACATTTCACAAATATCATAATGCATAACACTTTTAATTTCTTCCGCCCACTGACAAAAAATCATGTGTGTGTCAATCGCCATTACCATACCATCGTCATCTATTGCTGTTTCTGCACAATTCAAAACTAATATTTAACATTTACAACACTTCGTGGATTGTTGGTAATCAGTCGYCGGTGAGTGCAGCCGCCGCAATCAAAAATATTCTCAATGCCACAAAAAATGTTGGAAACTCGGCTGCTTCTGTGGCGATAGGACAAGCAGCAAATTCTGCAGGAAGTGGCAGTGCAAATGTGGCACAAAATATCGTTAGTGGTATTAGTATTTCACTGGGAATTGGTGGGTCAGCGAACAATAACGCCGGTAAAAACGGACTTTCATTGTGCAGCGGAAGTAGTGCGTCTTTAGCAGCAAAATTAAATAATACCAATGCCTCCCATTTTCAAAATGGCGACGAAGCGCATAATACCATGAACAGTGGTCTTGGTAACAATACTTGTAATGGCGGAGTTGACGGCTTTGATAATGATAACTGCAGCAAGGACCACACAAATGGCAGCGGAATTTTATCGCCACAAACTTTGCAACAAATCACTGGAAGTCCTGGACGCGCTAGAGACCGCAATCTATTCCATTCACCATCCACAACATCGTCGGCCACACCTCTGCCGCTCCTACGAGGTGCTTATCAACAATTTTGCTTTTATATGCTTCCCTCTATTAGTGAAATCTCAACACTTTCCTCTTTATTTCGTGGTTTCATTACACKCACTTTATTTTGGTAATAAGTATCTTTATAGTTTTTATCAAAACAATTATTATGGCGTTTGCATATTTATTGTAACTTTGTTTTTTGTTTTTTTTTTTCAAATAAAAACATTACTGATTAAACAAAAATTTGGTTGAAATGTTTTTTAATTTATTAATTGTATGTTTATTATTATTTAATATAAAGTAAGTGCGAATGTAAACTTTTCTTATGTAAATCATATTTTTATATTTACTAATTACAGGAAATATGAGATAATGATTTTTAACTTTTCGAATATTTTRGAAAAAAGCTGAGTGCTTTAAGGATAATTGCAGAATTAATCACATAATATTTAGTAAGATGATTGCTAGTATCAATCACCGGAATCACAGTAAATATTGACCTATATAAAAACTTTGAAAGCCACGACATTTTATCTCTTAATTTTTTTGAATCCCTTATGATGGGTGATCATTTTGAAACATCAGAACGTATTGTGGAATTTAATTGTATTCTGGGAAATAAAATTATATATTTTCCCAGTTTATTCCCAAGTAGTTTTGACTATAATATACATATAGCACTTWGCGTTTGGGAAATTTGCTTTTATTCGATCGTCTTGGACTAGTGTTAGTTTTTTCTTGCAAATGCTATGTCTAAATAAAGAGACAAGAGTTGCATGCATAGTCGTTGTATAGGCAAGGCAACAAATTAGCGCAATGTTTTTGCTAATTTATTTTATAAAGCTCTTGCCAATTGCTGAGAATGCAGCCGGTAGAAATCAACGCTAAATTGCAGTTTTGCAATATATTTTGGCGTCTTAAAATTAGCGCATTGGCACCGATATTTAAATGGGAATACATGGGCAGGCAAAGCTAAACAAACCCACAATAACGGAGCGCGTACATTCGCCTTACCGATATTTGAGAATTCTCTCAATTCAAAAGACTCGTGAGTGAATGTTGCGATTATTATGTCACATAAAATGTCAAAAGAACGATATTTTTCGTCAATACTTATGGTCTGCTTATAAAATTTAATAAAAATCATCTTCAATACRAAATCATAACTATTTTATGTGTTGCTTTCATCTGAGTTTTCTATTGGTTATTACAATATGTAGCCTTCTTAGTTGAAAACCTTGTGTTGAGGCCCTAGATATAATTTAACGTCAATATTTCTATATTCAATATTACAAATAAACAGGACGTCATTAAAATCATGAATATGGCCATAGAAGAAGACTTTGTTTTCCATCTATACATATCCAAATTTATACATATTATTTTCTTGGCATTTCGTTTACTTACTACTTGCCAGTCGCTCACTTGCTTCATCTCATATTTACAATAYAATACTTTTCAAGACATTTGGTTAGATATTTTTATACTAATGATTTTCAAGTCCAAGGTTATGCCGCAAATCTGTTTTTCTTTTTTAATTGATTCTGTAAATAAGCGTTTTTTTAGTTTTTCATTTAAAATAGAAAGACTGAACCCAGCTAATAACTTAAAGCGTAAATATCTTACTACCGGAACGAGTTAAACGTGTGATATAGAAGATAACCTGTTAAAATCTAAAATTACTTTTATACCGTTACCGTTTTCGGTTACCCCTGACGTTCTAAATTTCCGAAACAATACAAAGCAGAATGTTTTAAATTGATTTGAGATACAGGGTGTCTTTCTTGCTCTTCAAATGAGGAGAAATTTCATCGATTTGTATAATTCTCTCCATACASAGTTTTCTAATCTACAACAATAAGGTTAACTTATTCCTTTGATATTTTTAGGGATGAAACCTTATGAAGTTTTAATGGTGTTCAACGTATACATAGTACTTTGCTGACGGCATACGAGGTGTGTTCAAAAAGTATCGCGAATTTTGTGTTTTTTCAAAAATTATTTATTTATTCATGAATATCTATTTTGTCCACTTCAAAGTAATCCCCATGAGATATTATACACTTGTGCCAACGGTTTTTCTAGTCTTCGAAGCACTTCAAAAAATCTTGTGTTTTATTCTTCTTCAGCTCATCTTTCTATGCCGTCTTTATCTCGTCAAGAGAACGTTACCTTTCATGGGCCTCTTCAGTTTAGGGAACAAGAAAAAGTCACAGGGGGCCAGATCTGGGAAATACAGTGGCTGCGGCATCATTAGTGTGTTGTTTTTGGCCAAAAAGTCAAGCACAAGCAACGATGTGTGAGCAGGGGCGTTATCGTGGTGCAAAAGCCAATTTTTGTCACATCTTCTCGGCTTTCTGAGAACATATTGTACCACCGATATTTCGTTTTCCACACAAAATTTGATGCAGGTTCTTTGATCCATTTTTTTTTGAATAGGTAAAAATCGAAGACGATCCAAAACACGTGCAAACAAAGCAGCTGTCAACAATTAAATGAACAYTCAAAATGGCCGAGCTTGTCGGCATAAATGAGAGACATGAGTACCAACATAACGCCACAAAAAATTCGAAATTCGAACATACGTAACCCCCGAAAATTCAAAATTCACGATAATTTTTGAACACACCTCGTATATCAAAATTGAAGTGGAAATTACTTTAATATTAGTTTGCGCATTTTACAATATCTATAGGTAGTTATAAAACATTTTCGACACATTGACTAAATGTGAGTAAAATGCTTGAAAAAATCATTTTAGTGTATAAACCCAATTAAGAATATAAGTATAAAAAAATTTATATCCTGAAAGAATTTTACAAGTACAATAACTTTTAACTGCGTCGAACAAATGAGTAATTTTCTAAGCTAAGCACACAAAATGTGATTGAATTTGAGTTATCTCATTGGGATAAAAATGTGCTTCAAAATTAGGTATGAAATAATAATGATTTAGTTAAGTTGCAGTCGAGAGGGTTGGAGCAAATTTTTTTGTAACAGGCACTCATTTTCTATTGAATACACCGTAATTGAAGAGTTTAATTTAATTCATTTGTTCTTTTTTTCCCGTTTTTCTATTTAAGTTTATGTATTATTATACGTGTAATGAGGATATTTTTAACCAGTCTTGTTTTTGTTTTAACCATAGAAACGCCCGCAAATGAACGTGAACAACTTTTGATTCAAAAGTTAAGGCAATGTTGCACACTCTTCGATTTTTCCGAGCCCTTAAGCGATCTAAAATGGAAGGAAGTAAAGCGCGCTGCTCTGCACGAAATGGTCGAGTATCTCTCTAACCAGAATGGTGTGATCACGGAAGCAATTTATCCGGAGGCAATAAATATGGTTAGTACTTCTGTATAAAGGAACATACCATAGATTTATGTGATTGGTAACATGATTTCTTCTCCAGTTTGCGGTCAATTTATTTCGCACATTACCCCCTTCATCGAATCCCAACGGCGCTGAATTCGATCCGGAAGAAGATGAACCTACGTTAGAATCATCGTGGCCCCATTTACAATTTGTCTACGAATTATTTTTGCGTTTCCTCGAATCACCAGATTTTCAACCAAACATCGCTAAGCGTTATATTGATCATCAATTTGTGTTGCAGTTGTTGGACCTTTTTGATTCCGAGGATCCACGTGAACGTGATTTTCTTAAGACTGTACTGCATCGGATCTATGGAAAGTTTTTGGGTTTAAGAGCATTTATACGCAAACAAATCAATAACGTATTTTACCGGTATGGATGGAATGTAATTAATTAATTTCAATATTATATTGTTATTAATGTATATATAGTTTTATTTATGAGACCGAGCATCACAATGGAATTGCTGAACTTTTAGAAATTCTCGGTAGTATTATAAATGGTTTCGCATTACCACTAAAAGAGGAGCACAAACAATTTTTGCTGAAAGTTTTATTACCACTGCACAAAGCAAAAAGCCTATCTGTTTACCATCCGCAATTGACATATTGCGTTGTGCAGTTCTTGGAGAAAGATCCAAGTTTATCGGAGCCAGTAATAAGGTTCGAAATACGATTGGTTTACATATTATATATGATTTGATGTTTCATAAGTGTATTGAATTTTTTTTAAAGGAGCCTTTTGAAGTTCTGGCCCAAAACACATAGTCCTAAGGAAGTAATGTTTTTAAACGAACTGGAGGAGCTGCTTGATGTGATCGAACCGGCTGAATTTCAAAAAGTTATGGAGCCATTATTTCGACAAATCGCCAAATGTGTATCGTCGCCACATTTTCAGGTGGCTGAACGAGCGCTTTATTACTGGAATAACGAGTATATAATGTCGCTGATAGCAGACAATTCGCAGGTCATTTTGCCGATAATGTTCCCGGCTTTAAATCGTAATTCAAAAACGCATTGGAATAAAACTATACATGGACTGATTTATAATGCACTAAAATTGTTCATGGAGATGAATCAGCGTCTTTTCGACGAGTGCAGTCGAAACTATCGCCAGGAGAAGCAACTGTAAATTCATATATTTTTTGTATTTTAAATATATACAAACTTGTTTATTTACTTCACTAACTAGGGAACGCGAAAAGATATCACAACGTGAAGAGCTTTGGATGCAAGTAGAATCTTTAGCCAAAAGCAATCCTGAATGGCCTAAAATGTGTGGTCAAATGGATAATTTAAGTATTTCAAGTAGTCAAAATGAGTTTGAAGAGAATGAAAATTGTGATCTAACTTATGACAAATTGGAACAAGAAAGCAGACAACCGCAGATACAACAACAAACAGCACAGGAAACTAGAGAGGTAAGCCAAATATTTGTTGTTGCTTAAAAAGGTCTATGTGAAAACTGTGGTATTAAAGAGCATTTTCCACACATAGTTTTGTATTAATACGGGTACTGTCTATAGGTTACTAATAATTTCATGGAGTTCACCTTTGTTACTCATTAGATCTATTACATAATTACATTTTATTATGTTCTTGCGAGGGCTGCATGTTGGTTATTTATATGTTACAGCTTAGCTACTCACTTCAAGTATGCAATTTTTGTCTATATCCACACATTTTTTAAAACTGTCTTAAACGGGTTTGTGACCAAAAATTATTCTTAAATTACAATTATAGAAATTACACTTCACGTACATGTAGCATTTTCAGAACTGAATTCGTTATTCGAATGTAATACAAATAGTGGTTTGGTTTTATTGTGTGGTAATTTGTATACAATTCTTGAACTCATTTAATATTATCCACAGTCAAAGGATAAGAAAACGCTTTACCCGAATTCATTAACACATGCTTATATTTGTAGATATTTACGGTRGTGTTAATATAATCTGTCTTTGTAAATTAGTTAATTAGTATTGTACACATTTAAATATAATGTTGTGATGGATAAAACAAAATAATAAAATATCTTTCTAAACTATGGACATTCATTTATAACAACATACGCATTCACACACAAATTTGTATATACACATGTATGCATCGATATTTTCAAGTATAGTTAAAAGAGAATTTGCAACTTGTGAAATTACTCATTCCAAACAGATACGAGGGGAACGCAATAAAGACAAGCCGTTATTGCGTCGAAAGTCGGATTTACCAGCTGATAGTGGCACAATTCGTGCCCTATTCGAACATAAGCGGACGGACGATTTCTTGAAGACTCCTCCAGATGTGAACAAATATTAAAGGAATTTATACAAGTGAACCCAATACAAGAAAAAAACATAGATATGTATCTATTGCAGTATATAACTTTATACTTAAAGTAGATATACTATATATTAATTCATTGAAAAATTAAAATATTATGAATATAGTAAGCATAAGCATTACTTATCTAATATACATATGCATAACATACAAAAATATTTACTAGATTATAAAGATATAGCAGTCCGAGTTTCAGAGATAACAAAACGTTTTGTATTCGAAACCAAAATATCTATAGTGTTTAGGAAGCAATTTGTGTTTCTTTTTATTCATGAATGCAAAAGAAGCCTACAAAGATTGTTGAATTGAATGAGAAGTACCAGTTATTTCTTCTTTTGAATATTTTAGACTTTGTTTGCCACATAAAACCGTTTTACAATAAAAATGTTTAAAAAGTATGTAAAAATTATCCATTTTCTAATGCTATCTAAGTCAACTGCATGCCGCCGTATTTATGTATACATACTTATGCATATATAATATATAACCATAAAAGACGAAATTTTTCTTTTTAAATATTACCATTGTAATAGATTACGAATCAAATGTAAAACACACCAAATGCTTAATGCTGCTGAAACATTTGAAAATACAGGTATAATACAAACAATAATTAAAGTTATAATTTTAAACGAATATTTTGCTTTTGTTGTGTCTACAATAATTCTTCTAAAAACAACTTATAACTAATTAGTACATATGAGTGACTTTAATATCAAATTTGTGGAATACAGTAATGCAGTATATTTATGGAGATCTTGTTTTGGACACGATTTTATGATATAAATTATTAATCAATGTCAAAAATAAAACTACAATAAAAAATAAATATCATCCTAATTCTATGTTACCGTTGCTTGGCTATTATGTACATGGTTTGCAGTGCATGTGTTCCTATACTTATATACTGTTCTGGTATATAACTGTTTGATTGAGTGCAGTTTTTAGTCCAAGAGATAAACTCATAGGTTTCATCAACCGTTATCAAACGAGCAGATCTTTAGTAGATAAATACAATAGAGTATTGAAAATAGATAATTGCATGCTTTAAACGTGGTTTTGCACTGAAAGATGGATAGATACTTCATGGATTAGTAATTTTTAAGCAAGAACAAATTATTCGTACACAAAAAGTTATTATTAAATAAATTATCCATATACATACTATGTACATATGAACCTCAAAAGAACTTTAATACTGAAAACTAATTTCTTTTATTTCTTTTCTCTTTTACAGTGAAATGTGTTACTACTTTTAATACACAAATATTTAAATTTAAGAAAGATTAACTATATCTAATTTATGAATAAAAATGAAAATTAACGAAAGATATAAAAAATAATAACTTTTTGGAAATGTTTAAAACAAATTCTCTTCAGTGTACTCAACTATTTTTGAAAAATATGGAAACATCCAGGAATTATCTAGTGGAAGCTTCTTTATTGCATTGTAACATTCAAATCAATCGCTAAASTTTGGATGCAATTTATATGAACTAAAGGCGATATAAAGACTATAATGTCAACGACGGAACTCTAATAGACGCCTGGAAATCGATTCGTCCAGGGTATCTGTTGTTCTTTTCCCTTAACAGAATAATTAACTGATCTATKATTCAATCTTGCATTAGAGAATAATGAAACAATAAATAAGGAAAATGTAAATTGTGAAAGAGTGGCGGAAGCAAAAATATTTTTTTGGCACCAATGCATACAGGTGCATACTGGTTGCCTWTTTATAGGCATGTGGACTGACACACGCACTTGAGGAAGGTTTTCGGTTTGGTTTTGGTTTTCAAGAAAATGATCCTTCAGGTATTGCATGGGGGGATATTCACATCAGGGTCACTATTTAATATGCAGTGTGCTCTAATTAATCTGTTGCTTACTTATCTGTCATTTTGGTCCCCGCTAGTCGTACTAGCATTGCGTTTTAGGAAACGGTTCGAAGATGGCTGTTGTTCTTGTAGCGGCAGAAAACATCTCTGAAGCAATTTTGAGGAATGGTTCTGAGTTAACTATCCTAGACTAGATAAAAATCTGTTACTCAGATCGGACTGTCGTTGGAATGGAATTGAATGATTGTTATTGGTGCTGCAGCGGCAGAATTCTACTGAGATGATAGTCTTGGCCGGATAAAAATCCTTTCTGGTAACGTAGAACGGAATTGAATGATTTCGTTTAAGTTTGGTAATAATTGGGTCCCTATGTAAAATAAAAAAAAGTCCATAATGAACTAATTGAAGCGAGTATTTTCAGTCAGGAATTCGGAGTGAGGAAGTGTATTTCGTCTCTAAGTTATTAAAATGTGATCGAGAATTTCCTATGGGGAGCGATATGGTCCTTACAGCGGAAAAACTCGCAAGATGCGCYCGTGTCATCAACATATTAGGGGATACCACAACACACACAAGCACAAGCACTATTTGATATTCTTAAACAGCAGAAGTATATAAATTATAACGAATTTATCTACATATACAAATATATATTTATCTATAATACACATACATATATACGACACTTACTCTTATTCTTCACCTTTAATTATAGTTTTGTTGGTGTACCGATTTTTTTATACAAAAAATTAATGTTGAACTGCAAAATTCTGATTCAGGTTGTTTCGGTTTATTAAAAGTTAATAGCTTTATTTGTACGCATATAATGAAAATCCATAATTCATTTACAATTCTACGAAACTTTTGTTGTTATTTCACAGCTATTCAGAGAAATGTAGATAAAACATTTTTGACTGTTACAATAAGCATTTACTCAAACAACACTTATAATGATGAACATTTGTGTAATTTTTATTAAATAAAAAATAATTAGTCAGGATGCAAATTATGCTCGTTTATTGATTGAAAGCGTTTTTGTGTTGTTATTAATTTGAAAAGAAATAGTTCTAAATTGCTACTATCACATTTTTCACAATAACTTCTCCACACAGTTATGCATGTATTCCAGAGAAATCAGCTTTGTATGTACACAAACTTGGAACCTTGAACGGCACTCTATTACAACAATGTAAGCTGTTGCTAGACTTTACCTATAATAATTTATAACCTATGTCTTTTATTTTTATCTTCTMTATAATTAGATTATGTATTCTTCTGAAAAGACGTTCGAAAATTTCCTATATTCTTGTAAATTAACTGYGTCCAAAAATTAATGGTACACTTCAATAAGTTTAGTCTATTGTTCATCATTGTTTTAATATATTATATTTTTAGATTTTTTCATTAAATGAAATTTCTAATTGTATAAAATAATTAATTTACTTATATTTACTATATATTAAGTAATATGTGATGCGATCACAATTTTTCAAAATTTTTATTGAGTTGTGTTGTAATCAATTTCATAACAAAAAATTGCGATATTTATAAAACATAAACAAATAAAAACTCGGTGCTTATTTTAAAATGTAGGTCGATAAATCTAAAATTAAACATTTAACTCGACTCTTAGTAATCTCGCAAAACCCCTACCTAAGTCATTGAAAATACGGCAAATACTAACACGGGAAAGCATAACAAATTTGCATGCCCCTATTACATCAAACATCGACGGTTAGTGACGATTAACATAATTTGGCAAAAAGTAAATATGTACAGTCGGATAATTTATTATTTTTTTAATTAAATTTATTTGAAGCTTCTACTGAAATTTATCTGTTAGGCCTCGCGATTTTACTGCGAAATCGCTGAGATGTTTTTGSAGCAAACGTCTGTTGACTTTTTCCCTAAAAGACAATTACGTTACAGGGCGTAATTCAATGGTATTTCCTTTTTGTTCTTACCTTATAATCAGTGTAACAAATTTAGATTTCTCAGCTTCGTCGACAAGTTGTGTGGGATAGTTTGGTACCTGCATAACTAACTTCAGCCAAGCAACTAATTCCGCTGGATATTTTTTATTGATTGCCATGAAAATGTCAGCGAATTTTTCCACTTGCTGTCGGGGAGCGACACAACCAACACACAACACTGCAGTGCGAATAATCTCCTCGCCAGCATTAAGCACTGCTTGTGTCATACCCGGATAATTACGTGACTGCAGAATAAAATGCGACAGAAACTGAACACCGGTGCGTATGGGACCATTTTCGGGCAAGGTCATTGCTTTCAACGCATAGTATATTAACCTGTCAAATGCAATCGCTTTGTCATCTAGGGCTTGCGGCAACTTTTTGATGATCTGCATGAGGCATGCATAAAACACCTCAATTGTGTCGGCGATATTCGAGAAAGCGTTCTCAGGTGTGGACTTTCGTTAATAATGTATTTAACATAAATATTAATATTTACGATAAGTATACTTTATATTTTTATTGTATATTCAAGTTTAACTCACTTCGAATAATTTAAAACTGTGAAGCACGAGTTCAACTAGAAGTTGCTGCATTAAAGACTTACATCCCTCGTCCTTATAGAAGATTATAATAGCCTAAATAAATAAACAAATATAAAAATTAAAAATTATTATTTAAGTTCAAATTGAAAACTAGTAACCGTTTTGGATATTTCCAAAGTTGGAGCGCAGCAACGCGTTTGGAAAATAGCGACAATGAAGCAACAGAGGTCTTGTAACATAGGTCGAAAGCTGGATTTRAGATTGACAATTGCATGTTGTAAAGCAGTACAAGCCGTCTAAATACATATATAGTTAATACATATTTACATTAGTTTCATATTGTAGCTATAATGGTTTACCTCTAGAACATCTATTTCTTCTACCCAAAGTTCAGCGATTTGACGAAATATAGGCATGGTTTTCTGCATTACAATTAACACTGGTTGCACATTTTCTAGATCTTCGATCTGATCATCTTCATCCAGGTCAGTGTTGAGCGAGGAGAATAATGTTGATATCATATTCAGTCGAAAAATGGTTCTTATCCGCGTTGCTGGTGTTTTCTAAAAACAAAAACAAAAAACAAAAAAAAGGAAAACCCAGCTTGGAACATTTCGTAAATAGAAGTATATTTTTCTTCCTTACACAATCATTTTGGCAAATGGTCTGCAGCTCCTCGAAGCATGGGCCAACTATAATATCCAAATAGTTCGGTATATTTGTAGCTGGTAGCAAGCTCATAAGTTTTCCAATGCTATACATTAAACGAACACAATCAGAATTTTTCATCTGGCCTGAGGTTAGCGAAGTATGGCAAGCATTTAAAAGTGGTTCAGCATATGGTTTCATTTGAAGTTGGCAATCACAACAGAGCTCTTTAAGCCCTAAAGTAGCTTGAGCAGACATATTGGAATTTAGTCCCCGTACCAACAGTTCAATAGCAGGGGGTATATAGGTCGGATTTTCTTTTAGCCACTGGCAGTAAGAACCAACAGTCTCCAGGGCGGTGCCAAGTAGCTTTTCATTCATTTTATTGTAAGGAATTTCGGATAGAACACGCATCAGCTTTGGTATCTGCTTTAATTCTTCTCCTGCGAAATGTTCTGCTACCGATTGGAATGAATATATGCAAGCCTCAAGTTTAGTCCATTGTGTGGGATTATTTTGCATCTCAGCAATAGTCTCATCGAGTACTGTAGCCAGTATATCAAGTATATACTCGTGTAAAACATCATAACAGTACATCTGAAAGGGTATTTAAAATGGTAATCCATTATGGTAATGAAATACTTACGAATGTATCTGATATATCTTGACGATAGCAACGAAAACTTTCCAAATCATCTGATGTCCATTTCTCAATGGAATTGTCATCAGGTTGTTCTGATTTGCGAACTAATATTCGAGTTAAATGTGCGTATAATGGTTTAATATATTCCCAACACTTCAATCGTTCTTCTTCGTTGTGCATAGCAAAAACCTCATCTTGTAGCAAATACCAAAACCCCATAGCCATRCTGCTACAGGACTCCTCCACTGGGTATATTCCCGGTTTATCTGTACATTGTAGAATCTCATTAACAAGACGACCATAGAGAACAGAAAGCTCCGGATCGGTAGTTGTTATTCCACTCAACAGAAGTTGTGAATGCCTTTCAACGGCAGATACGAATAGTGTGTAAATATTAACTACAATGTCTTCGTTGTTGTTATCACGTTTCCATTCCATTTTTGTAATATCGCATAGCGAGTCTAAAAACATTCGAATCAATATAAATGCCGTTTTAGGATAGGAATGACAATCTGGTTGAATAATTATGCTTAGTAAGGTTTTTAGGCATGTCTCGGCTAATTCATTTTCATCAGCAGACATACATCCATCCCCATCCTCGTCCTGAATACAAGGCCAGTAGCATTTGTTGGTCAATTTAAGCAATATTGCAGTAATATTCTGACAATTTTCAATAGAAAACCCGACATGTCTGCATAAAAGCAAAAGTGTTTAATATCAGTATCGAAGCAGTCACATTGAAAAATTACTTACTTTACCCATGTACCAACACATTTAACAGCTCGAGTCATATTGCTAAAACATTCACTATCCCATTCATGATCCAATTGCATTTTTAAGTAAGCTTCTGTTGTTTCCATTACTAACGGGGTGCGCTTCGCTACCTCTGCACGCAATGTCGTTCTTTTGACCGACGTGAAAATGGCTTGCATCTGTTTAAAAATATCTTTAATGAAAATTAATGTGGCATATTTTGGTAAAAATAGGAAACCCAACTTCTTCTGGAATAGCTTGCAGAACTTCCAACATTATCCATAATTGCATTTCTTTATTGACGTTTGGTATCCGCTCATTCTGAAAGGTGTTTATAACATCCTCTATAGCTGTTGACCATTCTCCAAGCATATGCACAATGAAAGCGCTGAGCTGTAGAGCGGTATTATTACAATGAATATTAACACGTTTAAATTTAACTTACAGCAATACACAAACGATTAAGAACTAATTTAGGACCACAAGCGAATTGAACAATTTTTTCCAATATTTTTTGTTTTAGTTCATCGTGATTTTCCCGAGGTACCTCATGCCAATACTTCATTAGTTTAGAATGTAATGTGACTGCCCCAAAGAATTGGACTTCTTGACTCTAAAAATCAATTCCAAAGGTTTAAATTTATATTACTAATAGATATTGAATAATTATTGTAATTATATATTTTTTCACCTTGCCTAGTTCCATTAGCTGCCACGAAAATTGCCATGCTTGTGGACTTGTTTGAGCCTTAGTAAGCCAATCATGCGTTATAGCTTGCTCTTGAGAAGTTGATCGATAAAAGACAATAACTGCCTCCTCTAATCGCGAAATATCAATTGGTTCCATATTTTTGGTTAATGGTGCTACTTTAAGCGATATTATGGTTTAAGGAGTTTCCTATACACTTCGGTAAGCGAAGGGTGGTGTCGCGAATACGTTCGCCCCTTCCTTATTACCAAAATAGTCTTATATTGTGTTGTTATTACCCAAGTAGCACCGATTTCTAGTTTCCCTTTGTATTGATATTACAACTAAATTGTAATATTATAATATAAGAACCACTTACAAGAAAAAAATATGATGAAGCGGCCTTAAAATTTATTGACACTACCAAGCCGAATATAAATTTCCAATAAGAACAACAATTCACAATAAAAGTGTAGTACAACAAATGATGCCACCCAGCTCCCGAGATGGTAAAATTTTGAGCTTATAAATATGAATACAGATATGAAATTAAAATCACTGCTGCTACATAACAATTATGTTATAAAATATGTTATTAGTTCGTAATTATTCATTTGTTTATTATTTATTCCATTCAATACAGAAAGGATAATCTTAATAAAGAAAGTTCTATGACATTTTKAATTGTTGTTTTTTAACCAAAATATTGCAAATTAAACTTAAGGCAAATAAAAATATGATTTAAAATAGTTAAGTAGTTGATCTTAATGTAAATGTATATATGAATGAATAATTACGTTTTTACATATGTGCACAGAGTACGAGTGGCTTAAAATTCACAATTAATAAAAAATCTTCAAATTAATAAACTTTTTAATTTAATTCATATTAGGAAAATATTTACAAATATGGATAAAAATGTTATTTTTTGGAGATATTGCTTATAATAAAGTATATTTCCATATAAATAATTTAATTCAAAACGTGGCAACGTATCATTGAACGTGAATGACAGGTAGTTTGACAGGTGATTGTCGTCATCACAGCAAAGTGTGTGGCACCTTAGTGAAAAATTTTTATTCGTTTAATTGGTACAAATGTTAAAAAATTATGTAAATTTTCTTTAAAGAATATAAACAAGTGAGAGTTACGACGTTTGGTAATAAGTTTAATAGCTTGTAATTAATTATATCGACCTTTTTATTTGTAAGTTATTATATAAAAAGATATAATAATGTCCTCATCGGCAATATACGTACTGGATGTCAAAGGTAAAGTATTGATATCGCGTAATTATCGAGGAGATACAATGGATATGGCTGCTATTGACAAGTTCATGCCACTATTAATGGAACGCGAAGAAGAGGGTCTAATTACCCCGATATTGCAGACTGCCGATCAGTAAGTACAATATAATTATTTGATTAAAAAATTATTATTCATTTTATAATTTATCCAGCACCTTTGCGTACATTAAGACGAACAACCTGTATATTGTTTCAACTACTCCACGGAACAAGAATGTTAATATTGCATTGGTTTTCGTTTTTCTGCATAAAATTGCACAAGTTTTTGTTGAGTATTTTAAAGAACTAGAAGAAGAGTCAATTCGTGATAATTTTGTAATTATTTATGAACTACTTGATGAGTTGATTGATTTTGGATACCCCCAGACGACAGATTCGAAAATATTGCAGGAATACATTACACAAGAAGGACATAAATTAGAGCTCCAACCCCGGCCACCTCTGGCGGTTACCAACGCTGTGTCTTGGCGCTCTGAAGGTATTAAATACCGTAAAAATGAAGTATTTCTTGATGTGATAGAATCTGTCAATCTTTTGGCCAACGCCAATGGAAATGTATTAAGAAGTGAAATAGTAGGAGCCATAAAAATGAGGGTGTACTTGTCTGGAATGCCTGAATTGCGATTGGGATTGAATGACAAAGTATTATTTGAGAGCACCGGACGTGGCAAATCAAAGTCAGTTGAATTGGAAGATGTGAAATTTCATCAATGCGTGCGTTTATCTCGTTTTGAGAACGATCGTACTATATCATTTATTCCACCTGATGGAGAATTTGAATTGATGTCCTATCGCCTTAATACACATGTAAGTAGAACCATAACTTGACAAATATGCCATGATGCAAACACTGATTATCACCCTATATTATGTTTACATGAACAGGTAAAACCCTTGATTTGGATTGAATCTGTTATTGAACGTCACGTCCACTCTCGTGTCGAATACATGATAAAGGCTAAGTCGCAATTTAAACGACGCTCTACTGCGAACAACGTCGAAATTGTCATTCCCGTTCCCGCAGATGCAGATTCCCCTAAATTTAAAACAACTATTGGTAGTTGTAAATATGCTCCAGAGCAAAACGCCATAATATGGACAATTAAATCCTTTCCTGGTGGTAAGGAGTATTTAATGCGTGCACATTTTGGACTTCCAAGCGTTGAAAGCGAAGACAATAATGAAGGAAAACCTCCAATACAAGTTCGTTTTGAAATTCCTTACTTTACAACATCGGGCATMCAAGTTCGGTATTTAAAAATAATTGAGAAGAGTGGCTATCAAGCGTTACCGTGGGTACGCTATATAACACAAAACGGCGATTATCAACTTCGTACTAATTAAAAAGTCGACGAAGAAAAAATACATATAAAAATACAACTGTATAATTTAAGCAAAGCGTRTTGCACCCATTTTCTGTTTCCGCAAATCTGTCGAAATTTGCAATAAAATATCCATTCCATTCAACTAAAGTTCTGTATTTATATTATAAAATGTTTGGTTTCAAAATAATGTTCTTGTTTGCCTGGCATATTTAAAATGCRATTTCTGACAGCTTTAATATTTTAATATTATATTTTATAACCGATAAACCAAGATTTATATTAAAACTTTTACAAACATGATACAATATATTGCTCAATAATTGCAGCGGCAATGTGTTTTTGTTGACATATAGGTAAGTTTTGCGGATTAATTTCTTAAAACTAATAAATGCACTTTGATTATCACAAGTTAAGACAAACATTTGGGTTTACAAATTTTAAAATTATTTTACAGAGTATTACGTTATAGTCGAGAGGTTACTGAGAAGATAAAAAGCAAAGAAAGTTTGAATCATAATAAAATCTTACTCTTTAAAGTTTTTTACAGGATAGTGGTTCCTATGTGCATTGATGTGAGACTCCAACTCCTTCATTTGTTCTTTCARATGTACAGGTATTTCAGAGAAAACGCCTTCGAACATTTCTTTCCAGTTAGGTTTAAGTTTTTTTTCTGATACATTAATTTGCTTCAAAACTTTTTTCCGTACGTCTTTTACAAACTCTTTTTCTTCATTTTCATTAAACCATCCTTTGCGAACCATGTAGCTCTTTAGTTTGGATAAAGGATGTTCTTTTGAATTCCATACCTCGACTTCATCAGCAGATCTATAAGCGGTGCTATCGTCTGATGTCGAATGGTGGCCAACTCTTCAAATTACGAAAAAAAAAAAAATTATATTAACAATTAAGGCATACAAATCATACTTTACCGGTATGCCATGGCCTCAAAAACAACTGGTTTATTTTCACGAAGTACATATTCACGAGCCAATTTCATAGCGTTGTAAACAGCGAAGACGTCTGTGCCGTCGACACGAATTGTTGCCATGCCATAACCATGAGCACGAGCAGCGATTCCATCTCCGTTGTATTGTTCGTGCGAAGGAGTAGATATTGCAAATCCATTGTTTCGGCTGAAAATATTTTATTAATTCAAATGAAATCCACAAAATTAGTTTAAAATACCAGAACATAATAACTGGACATTCCAGCGTTGCTGCAAAGTTAAAAGCGGCATGCGCATCACCTTCAGATGCTGCACCTTCTCCGAAATAACACACTACACAAGCATCGTTATTGGGACGTAACTTCATAGCATATGCAGCACCAACAGCTTGTGGCATTTGAGTTGCTAAGTGTTAAATTGTAAAAATATATATTTGAAGATGTAGTTCTATTCTACGAAAGAAACATACACAATGGGCTAGAGATGGTCACAAAATTTAATTCCTTGCTTCCATAGTGTACTGGCATCTGTTTGCCACGGCCGTCATCATCACAGTTACCATAGCATTGATCAATGAATTGATCGATGCGAAAACCGCGCCAAACTAATACTCCAGCTTCCCTGTATTGGCCATATATCAAATCACGCATTTCTAAAGCAGCTGCACTTCCAATATGCGACGCTTCTTCGCCAAAATTCGTCATGTAGAACGATATACGGCCCTGACGTTGAGACTCGTATAGAATTTTGTCCATAGTGTTAAGTAGGACCATATCATTAAACATTTTTTGTATAACTTCCTTACTTAACTGGGGATCCTGCGAATCGTCGGAAATGTATCCGTCACTGTCCATTACACGGTAAATAGGAATGGCGCCATAGTCAGTATGCTCAATCAATTTTAAATTCCTAACGAAGGGTGCTTTTGGTGCACCAGGAAAWTGTGACGGATCATCCGTTGAAGTAGAATTTCTATATCGACTTTCGACGTTTGCATTATCTAGAGACTACACAAAAATTATAAAATTTTTTCCAATGAATGACCTTCTGACTTACCAGTAATCGCTTAGTCAATACACCGTTATTAATACGTGCGATGTGTTTTAATGKTTGTCGAATTAAGGCCATAACGGAACGTAGATTCCCAAATAAAACGTATAAAAGGATAAAACGAAATTATAAAAAGAAACAAGTTCGAATACGCTGGGATGTAAATAAAAATAATATCAACAATTACATAACTGTCTCCGGAACATGCGTTAGTTCACAATAGCAAACAAAGTTACGATAATGTTTTAAAATATGAATAATAGTAAACAAAATTTAGATTTATATAAAAGTGCTTTAAGAGGATTTAGTCGAATTATAATGCATTTAATATTGACAGAAATATTAATGAATAGAGAACATTTTCATTAACATTAATTGTCAGAATATTCGTGTGTAAAAGCAACCTATGCTAATAGTACAGTATATATGTATGCATATGTATATACCATTGTATGAACATATTTGACAAAAGCATGCTTATGCACATGTGAAAAATTTACCCAAATTTATGATTTCTCAATGAATAATTACGGAAGTAATCAAGGAAGATTATTTTTATAGTGTTCTCAAATTGTAGCCGTATTTTTTGATGTATGTGCCGGTTTAGTGCGCAACAATAAAATTATTTTGAAATGGAGTCTTTTATTACGGAAATKCAATTTTGGACTGGAATTATTTTATTGATTAGAAATTACAACGCCGTAAATAAAAAGATATTTGCTTGTGTAGTACATAAAGTGTTGAAAGTACACAAAGGGATTGCACATATTCTTAATACGTGTGATTCTCAATCGTATTGCGATCAATTGTTTGAGATAAGCAAAATTAAGAATACTTCTGTTTCTGAAAAATCTGAAGCAGATCTGATACACGTACTTCGCAGTGTAGTAGAAAATAAAAATTTAGAAGAGGAATGTGAGGGCTTTTTAATATTTTATAAATTTCTGACTAAAAAATTACAAAAAAATATTGAAGCTGTGGGTAAAATTGGTACGTAATTTACTTAATTTTCGACTATTGTAAAAATATACAAAATATTATTTAGATTTCTTGAATAAATCATACACATGCCAATTTATGTTGTGTGATGATTTGGATGATTTTGCTGTTCAATTTGTTGACAACCACTTAACAGTTGTCATACTTACTCAACGTGACGTTGGAGACAAGAGTAAGCGATGGTCTGATTTTATTCTGCAGCCAAAACTGTTGAAGTGGAGTACATGTGCCTCTTTGGAAAATTTATATTCAGTTGACGAAGAAATATGCACGAAATCTTTACAGTTGGTGGACTTAGAAGAATATAATGAACTTTATAAGTTGCTTAAGTCCAAATACGCTGAAAAGTTATTGAATGTAAGAAATAAAACAATTCGTCCAAAATAGCGAAACTTTTCACCAATTATATTTTTTTATAGATCTGGAGCAATGCGAAAGAATCTACCGATCCTCTAAAATTCATTTATGAAGATTTGGCGATAGCTGCTTATTTAATTTGTCTGTGGCATCGTGTTGGTTCACCCATTGGTTTCGCTGATCTGGGATGTGGAAATGGTTTACTAGTACATTTACTCTCTGAGGAAGGTTTCAATGGTTATGGATACGATGTTCGGCGACGTAAAATTTGGGATTATTACACACACTCCACAAGTTTAATTGAGCAAACAATCGAACCTTTAACGTTTAAGCTGCCAGAAGATGTAGACTGGGTGATTGGTAACCATTCTGATGAATTATCTCCATGGATACCCTTCTTAAGTGCTACACATAGGTATCAGATGCGTTACTTTCTACTTCCATGCTGTGCTTACGAGTTTTCTGGGGCGAAGTTCCAGCGTCGCAATACGAGCTTAAGTATATATCAAGACTTTTACTCATATTTGAATAATATTTCACAAAATTGTGGTTTTATAACGTTAAAAGATCGTTTGAAAATACCGAGTACAAAAAGATTAGCTTTAGTAGGAATCGAACGTTCATATGAATCACACTTAAATGAAAAGCAAATGCAACACATTGCACAGTTTGTTAAAGAAGAGCGTATTAAATATAGAAACAATATTTCGGTTGTTGATGTAAAATTACGCGAACCACATGAAAAAGTTCGAAATTGTACACAAATCAATAAAACAATTATAGATGCTTTAATTTTAAAAATATTCCATCAGCTATTGTCTCCCGAAAATAGCACAATAAAAACAAATAATGCTGAAAGAGGAAAATGGCGGTCTGGTATCCGTTTGCCTATGAGAGACATTGCTCAAAATTTAGCTAAAAGTGATCTGAAAAGTATTAAAGCTGAATGTGGTGGTATTAAAACTTTACTACGAAATAAACATGAAATATTTGAGTTTCATTGTGGAGACTTAATTGGAATAAGGAAACCAAAAGCTGTTGTATCTCACTCTCAAGGCAATCGGCAGACAATTAAAAAGCGTTCCTGTTTTTTTTACATGCACCACCCAGATGGTTGTCCTTTGTCGGCCGAAATATGTACATTTATTCATTAAAATATTCCCTTTTTAAGCAAGGTAACCCAATTATATATTGAATAAGTTTTTAATYAAAGTTTCTATTTCTGATCTACAATATAAATTTTGGTTACATATTTAGAAATCATAAAAAGCAGTTTTTACATTTCTTTTTTAAAAGTATCTTAAACCGTTACTGTTTATTATTTTAGATATTGAAGAAAAAGAATTGAATTGATTCAATGCGAACAATTCTTAATTTATATAAATCATCAAGTAGACGACTTCGACGCAAACTGCAAAGTAGATAAATTTAAATAAAAGCTAGAACAAGTTAGAAGTCAAGAAATTTCTTCTTGATTGCGTAGTGTTATCTTTAAAACTTGCACAGTAACTTGGACGTCCTTTATCCGTTAACGAGAACTGTCCGAGCTATTGCTACGTCTGCGACGGCGAATTGGTGAACGGGAACGGCGCCGGGGTGAACGTCGACCACGTGGGGGCGAGCGCCTACCACGGTTATTAAATCTGTTGAACTGAGGCGGCGAACGCCATCTTCCTACTGGGCGTCGCATTATGGGCGAAGGACGTCTAGCAGGTGCACGTATTTTTGGTGTTAACACCGGTGACACAGTAACTTCTTGCCCATCAATTTGTCCTCCATCCATCTGTTTCATGGCAACTTCACATTCTTCTGCCGTTGCATACTCAACATATGCAATGCCACGTCCAAAAGAAGGGTGATAACGATCGGTTGGAAATTCTACATTTTTCACCTCTCCGAAGCAACTGAATATCTCAACAACATGGTCTTTTGTAACGTTGCGGGTTAATCGACCAACATGTATTCGAGTGGGTTTTGGTGTAGTCGAACGTGAGCGCGAGCGATCACGTCGTTTTGTTGCAGGACTGCGTTCACCTGAACTGCGTACACGACGTCGTGGAGATCGTGAACCAGAACGAGAACGCGAACGACGTTCACGCTCGCGATCTTTAGAACGTTCACGTTTGACATTGGGAATGTCTCCCACTCCACCTCCACCGCCACGATCATTTGAAATTCGACGCACACGTTCCTTGGATCGGGAACGTGATCGTCGACGATCTCGTTCATTTCGCTCTCTGTCTCGGTCGCGCTCATTACGATCGCGGTCACGTTCCCTTTCCCGTTCTCGTTCTTTAGAACGGGAATTATCTTTACGTGCCTTACTTGTGTCTCTTGGAGATTTTGAACGGCGCGGCGAACGAGATGCACTCTTGCGTACAGTATTTGAGKTACCTGCTCCGCCACGGCGTCTATTATTTACACTGCGATCAGAATCGGTTGAAGATGAAGTAGATGACGATGATGACCCGCTTGAACTTGAAGAGCTTGAACGTGATCCTGATCCCGAAGTAGTTCTTGAAGAACTGCTATCTGACGAACTAGTAATAAACGAAAACTTATTGTTTTATTAATGTTTCATGCTGAGAAAAACGCACCTGCCGCTACTCTCGCTGCTAGATGATGCCGATCCTCTTCGCCTACGATCACGTTCTCGTCCACGATTAGAATTAGATGAAGAACTAACTTTTGGCTTAACATCTTTTGTCGACGATTCTTTTCCATCCTTTCCCTCTTTTTCTACTCCGGCAGATGGCGAACGCTCATGAGCCCTGTTTAATGAACAATATGTTACAAAGTAAATTGTTGAATTTATTGAAAAACTCGACCAAAAAGCATTTTACACTTACATTTTGTTTATTGAAGTTAATAAATTAGATACGTAGCACAACTATTTCAAGAATAATTTACCAACGAGTTAAAGTTTTCACTAAAATGGCTACAACCAATGATAATACTTCGCGTTTGTTTGACGTTTTTTTAACCGGTATATGTGTGAAAAAGACAGCTAYGGTCGCATTTTGATACCTAACACTTCGTATATCATTGCCAGACTGRATCCATTTTTCGAATAATGGATACATATTGAGTATATTGTGGACAAAATTCGTAGAATTTAAATCTCTTACAGGTTTTGATTGAATTTTTTAGTCATAAATGATATAACTATAGTTATTGCTAGATTAATTTTTAATTAATTTACCCAAAGAGCTGCAGAAAGTTTATGTGATGAAAAGGCCACCCGGGAGTAATCAACATAAGAATATCGCTAAAGCCCTAGGGTTTCATCGACAAAACTATCCGAAATTCTTAATTTTTGCTATGTACACATATATGCCGCGTAAAATTGGGGCAATATTTATAGGGAAATCACCGATTAAATACCTGAAAAAGCCATCGTTTGAATTGATTAGAATAAACCAAAATACCAGAAGCTTTAACCAATATATACTCGGTAGCACGGAGATATAAATCTGGTGGTATTACCAGATGATTCACATACAGTTGTTGCTTCGGATTTTTGCTTTGCAAGATAACTTCATTATATGTCAAATACATTTTAACAATTTTGTGTTCTTACAAATAACATTTAAATTCCGACTTTCATTTACTAAAAAGCAGCCGCCTTACCACAAGCAATCATGATTTATTCAAACATGAAACTTTGTTTCTTTCTCTCATTCAACTTTCAGATTGAGCGAAGAAAATAGGAAAGTAAATACATTTGTTCATTAAAAAAATTTCAATGTATTAGAGCAAGAATGATAGAGATATTTCCACCTTTCTTGGTTTGGAGGTCATTTTATTGTCGGGTTTAGTTGTTTCGGTATTATCTATGGTTTCTGTTGACGAAAAAATCAAGAATTGTGATACGTTCGGACGTCATGGTGGTATAATTGCGGCAGTTTGCATTGCTTTTGAAGCATTTGATCGTAATTTACACAGATCGAAGTCCATATAGTAGAGTTTATGAAGTGAGAAAAAGTTTCATGATGACCTGGCATAAATGACATACATAGTATCAATTATTTGCAAGAATGCGTGCGTTTCAAATGTTTATTGTCTTGCTATGTTGCCAAAAGTGCAAAATTATTTGTATAACWATTCTAATTTTAGAAACCGACGAGGAGGATATAATTGTCAGTGATTCCAATACCCCAGTCAGGCATACACGACCGCTTCAMACGGATGAATCGTATGAATCATATGCGACCAAAACAACAGCATCGCTGGAAACTCCACCAGCAACGCCACCAGCAGAAAACAGCGATGCTAGCACAAACGACAATACTCGCAATGTGAGAGAGTGCCGGAAGTTTCACAATATCGACTATGACGATCACACTTCAGCATATTCGCAATCTGAACCCGACGAAGATCCAAGCTTTGTTTTTTTCAGCGAAGGCGATTTACCGGCAGTCGCGTTTGAGCCACCGTACACAGCGCCTCTTGCACCATTGCTTACACCAAAAAGGTGGCGGAGAAAGCATAGTACTAAAGCAAAGAAGGGCAGTACGTGTCGGTCGAATACTAATATAAAAAGGAAATGCCGATCGCCGGTAACAGCTTCCAAAGAAAATTTTAAAAGTTACGACAGCCTCTGTGAGATGTTTTTACAGAATGAAAGATACGCAAGTGCATCTGGAGATGCAGGTAGTAATTTAAAAGTTGAAGCATGTGATAAAGATAACTTAAACGGAAAAGGCAAAAGTTACTACTTTGGCAATGATGATAATCGTGGTGTTGGTGAATGTATTGAACTTGATGACAAACTACTGTATAATAATGATGGTCGTACACACCGAAACGTTGATAAAAGGTAAGACTAATACAGTGTATTTGCAAAATATTTGTGTATGTCAGATAATGTGTTGTTTATATCCGATCTCATTTTAAAGAAGAGCGAAAAAATACTAAATGCAAAGCATCGCTATTTGTGTTAGTTTGACCTTATGCAAATATTTCTATAATTATTTGAGTGTATGTATATATAATATATTGGATTTATAAATATTATTTATTACATACAAGGCGTAGAAGTAATAGTCCGATCAGAACTATTTTTCTTAGATTGGCTAAATTGACTCAGCACGTTGTTCTGATCATTGATATGTATATTTTATAGGGTCTCGAACGTTTCCTTCTGGGTTCTACAAATTTCGTGGCCAATTGGCACATATAAACTTCCTATAAATATAATTAGTTCATAGAAATGTAAACGATTCTCAACGCTTACCAAAGAGTATTCCTACTCCAAAAGCAAAAGTAGTTAGAAAAGCAAAAACAAAAACGCTTATTGAGCTAATTTTACCATATATGTACATATATGCTTACAGAAATACTTATTGATAACAGAAAATCCAGGTACTTATTGAAGACCAGTGTATAGTATCAGGCTGATCTACGTCTAGTCGTAAATGATGTTATTTAAAATAATTAACATACATTTATCATTCAAAATTAAATATTACATTGCAAGATGTTTATTGTTCTTAAAAAATATAATGTTAATATTTAACAATGATTATTCAATGATTGAAATAAACAAGAAAAGTAATTAAAACTACTAAACAAAAACCTATTATTATTAATCGTACAGTCAGTCATTGTTGGACCCATWCTGGGTGGTCAGTGAATTTGATGGTGGGCTGACGGCGTATTAGTGTTCTAAAAGCCCATGTTTCCATAATGTTTTGTACCTACATAATATGCGTACGTATTTTTAGATGCTGAAAAAGTGTGTGTGCTTCGTTCTTCTGAAGAGTGATGTTCGAATTGTATGGCGCTATTTTGCGTCCAKATATAATTTTAATTTTATCAGTTTGTAACGATACGTCGTGTTTAACAGTGATAAGTGGGAGATTACAATTACTATAATTATATAACTAATAGGTAAAACTCTTGGAATTGTTTAATATTCATCAAACAGTGATACTCGTATATAATGCTATTTTTTTTTTCAAATACACAAGTGCACATACATATTTATATGAACATAAATATATAAATATAAAATCCCCACTCAACGCTAATTGCTGCTAACATAAATACTGACAACCCACATTTACTGTATTAATCATCGGCACTCAATGCCGTGTATGCTAATTTAATAAAGTAAATTGTAAAGAGAAGAAAGAGTACCAAATGGAGGTTGAGTTCTGCGACTTTTGGCATTTGCCAACAGTTTCGAACTTTAAAATTGTGTCTGTTTTTCCTGATACTACTAGCRCGCCTTTATTTTTTCTCCTTTAGTGCCCATGATTATTTAAAGTAATTAAAAAAAAAAAAATGTATTTCTTCCTTATTTTTTGGTAAGTTATTTTGTTAGTAATAAAAATACTGTTTATGCAAAAATAAGTAATAAATTAAAGGTCGTATAAATTGTTGCAGTGCTGTGGCTTGATATACTCGTATGTATGTTTTTATTATGGTATATTGCACTACTTTTTAGGGTTTTTAATTGAATTCTTTATCTTTTGAATTAATCCCAAAAATAAAGCAGTAAAAGAATATACCTAAATTTTAACGAAATGCCAACATTTATGGGGGCAGTMATCTCAATACAATATTTAGCTTATATCTGCATACTGTTTTGACACGTGACTTGTTGCATTTTTGCATCTTTGAGTTTAGTCCCAGTCGTGAAAGTGCTTAGAGTGTAATGCTTGCCATTTTTGTCTATATTTTTTAAGGCGAATATAGGTTACCGCATTTGCGTAAATATATGTATCTCTAGGCGTTGTATGGAATAAGTATATATACAAATGTAAGTATATCCTTGGCAGGCACAGTTGAGGTAAACTGTTTGATATTTAAATGATATACGTGCTCAACACAACATATGTATGTGGTTTATTAAGAGCGTCTCTAGTAATTTTGTATAGAATGTGTAGTTTTAATAGTAAATATGTATAATATTTGTACATATGTATGTCCGTTTGTAACTTGGTGCGTGCGTAATTCTCTACAGCAGGGAATCTTAACCCCAGTAAGTACATACTATACATTCAAATTGTTATCAACGACGCACCCTGGGTGTAAGAATTTAATGGCGTAAAACACACTTATGTATAAGCTAAAAATCTCTATAGTGGGAACGAGTCAAAGAGGTGTGTTTGGTTTGGCATGCTTAAGAGAAATCAGAAAACTTTTTCAAAAAAAAATAACGGTGTCTTTTCAGAAAACTTCAGCACACAACGAGTTTGACACTCGACGCAGAGACATCGCAACATCGAAATAACAATTTGGCCAAAATTAATCGTCATATCAGGCGTAATAATAGTTCTAAGTTCACAACACCGTTAGCTCCAATGACTGATGACATTTTAGAAAATAATTTTGTAAATGAAGAAGACTGCTGCCCATCAACGAAATACAATGAGACACTGTTTTTTACGGATGGTGTGCGTTCAATTGATTTTGTGCTTGCCTACAAGGTGGATCTGGACGCAAGCCAAGAAGTGATCAATTCGCATAAGCGTTTCAAATATGAAGCCAACCTGTTGCAAAATGGACTACAGATGGAAGTGGATATTAGGGAGCAGCAGCATATTCATTTTGTGAAAGTAAGTGAACTAAAAATATATGTTTTATATATTAGTTGCTGAATAATTCATTTCTTATTTGCTCTATAGATACATGCGCCATTGGATGTTTTACGTCGCTATGCCGAAATTTTAAAGCTGCGTATGCCTATGAAGGAGGTAAGACAAATGTTARTTGTTTTTATAGATATTGGAAAATKTTATGTTGTTTTGTAAGACATAATGTCATTAAAATGGGTTTGCGAATACATACATACGTACATACAATTGAAATTCAGCATTCTGAAAATAGTTTGGTTAAATAATAATTGTTTTCATTATGAATTGTAACTTAATGCTGTACAGTTTTACAGGGTGGTATTCGCCATAAGTAACCTAGGCTATTAGTTATAACATAATATAGTACTATTTAAAGCAWATGTAAACTTTCAAATGAATTTTTCTTAAATTAGAATAGATAAACTCGTTTTATTACAAATGTAACAATATATAGAAAAGTAATGAATCAATATTTGAGTATATTTATAAATTTGGTTTACTTTATAAATTTTCCTTCTTTTTCATTTTCAGCAAATATATGTAGAATTTGATTATCCTTATTGTGTAGGTAAAAATATAAAAAAGTCGAATGTCAATGTTTGTCCCAATGTAGTCTACCAAATTTAGAGACCACATTTATATTATATTAGTCTTTCATTACATAAATCTATAATTTAATATATGCTACATATTTATTATCTATTATACAAATGATGAAAAACATTTCACATATTTTAAAAATTTACTAATCATTCCACACATTCTTTAATTTATTTTTAATGCACTACTATTGCAGGATCTTTGTAGTACCACAGTTTACAGCAAATACAGTCGTTTGCTACATGCAGCGCAATATCTCTCACGAAAGGTCTGAATTGCATACCTACCTACATACAAAAAAATTTGCATTTAATTTAAAAATAAACGCATCTAACTTTTAGCTATTACTTCCAAACCATTTACTGGCTTCTGCTATTCTGCATTTGCATATAAAATATGCGGTATACAATTACTACAAACTGTTCTAAGAGGCCAAATGTTTCGTATTTTTTATATATATTTTTTTTTGAAATATTTTATTAAATATTGTGGCGCTGCTTACTTGAACTTATGTAGTTCTGCTCTACTAATCGTATACAAGTAGCTTGGAGATAAATTTAATATTTTGGATTATATTTACAGATACCCGGCATGTCTGCAGTGAATCGCTCAACTCGAAGTGTTTTTTCTAGTCTCAAAAGTGTTGTGCAATTCTTTCTTCGTAACATTTTTGTTGATGAACGATATTTCCCTCGTCGTGCCTACCGTTTCACCGCCATCTACAGTCGTGATAAAGAGTATTTGTGAGTTGAAATTTTTTTTTAAAGGTATTTATTTTATTATTTGCGTTTTTAAATACAGATTCGATATACATCATCGATGCTTCTTCACAAATGCGGTGCGCTCTCGTATTGTGCAGTTTATATTGGATCGGCAATATTTCGATAACCCCGACAAGGATCCGCGAGCATTCGGTATTGATCGCATGGTAGAGTCGAATGTTTATTGTGCTGCTTATCCGCTGCATGATGTGAGTGTTAATTCAACCAAACTCTGACAAAAGTCAATTACACTAAAATATATTCTCGTAATTTCAGGGCGAAATCACAGAGAAAGGTACAATGCGCGAAGCTCTTTATACACACTGGGCCTCCGTTAAGAAATGGTATCGCTATCAGCCGCTTGATTATGTAAAGGAATATTTTGGCGTTAAAATTGGTATATTTTGTATTTTTCAGCATTCAATTAATTGCCGCTTAATTAAGACTCTTTTAAGGTCTGTATTTCGCTTGGTTAGGTTTTTACACCTATATGCTGTTGCTTGCCTCCCTGATTGGCATTATCTGTTTTGTGTATTCATTGATAACATTAAAGGATTATGTCCCAGTGTATGTATATTTTTAYTGTTACTAATTTACGAGACCACTGCCATACAAATTTACTACAATTTAACTTTTTTGCATTTCCACACACAGCCAAGACGTTTGCTCCAATGAGCATACTAATAACCTCACTATGTGTCCCCTTTGTGATCGATGTGATTTTTGGTATCTCAAGGAGACATGTTTTTATGCCAAAATTACCTACCTCTTTGATAATCCCAGTACTGTGTTCTTTGCTGTCTTCATGTCCTTTTGGGCTACACTTTTCTTGGAGTTATGGAAACGTTATTCAGCGGAGATTACGCATCGATGGGATTTAACTGGCTTTGATGTGCACGAGGAGCATCCTCGTCCCGATTACCTGTCGCGGTTGGGACATGTGAAAAACACTCGTACGCGCATTGATTACGTTACGAATATACAAGAACCAGTAGTACCTTTTTGGCGCATGAAATTTCCTGCCACTATTCTAAGTGTTTCGGTTGTTTTTCTGTTGATACTTTTGGCTTTCGTGGCGCTTGTTGCGGTAGTTGTTTATCGCATGTCTATGCTGGGCACTTTCAAACTGAATTCTAGTACGATGACAACTTCGAGCGCCATCATGTTGGCTACAGCTTCGGCGGCGTTTGTCAACTTATGTCTGTTATATATGCTGAATTATGTAAGCCATGAAATTCCAAAGAAAAAAACTAACAATTATCTAATTCCAAATGTTTCTTTATCAGGTGTACACACAACTCGCTGAGTACCTGACTGAACTGGAAATGTGGCGCACACAAACGCAATTCGACGATTCATTGACACTGAAGATTTATTTATTGCARTTTGTAAACTATTATGCATCCATCTTTTATATAGCATTTTTTAAAGGAAAATTCGTTGGACATCCAGGAAAATACAACACAATATTTGATTATCGACAAGAGGAGGTAATTTTTTTGTACTGACTTTCATTACATTTCTGTTTAACATGATGTTCATTGTAGTGCTCCTCTGGTGGCTGTTTGACTGAACTCTGTATTCAGCTGGCAATCATTATGATTGGAAAACAAGCTTTTAACACCATACTGGAAGTAATAATGCCAAAGATTTGGCGAAAAATCATGGCCATACAAGTAGGTCTGTCGCGTTTGTTCAACAGTAAAACTCATGATGTGAATAAAGAGAAAGTGGAACGATATTTGCGCGACTTAAAATTACTTGACTGGGGTCCACGCAGCTTATTTCCGGAGTATTTGGAAATGGGTAAGTAAATGTGGCTTGTTTTCCTGAGCAATTTTAGTTTTAACAATACATTACGTAATATTTTGTTTACATTCGAAGTTTTGCAGTATGGTTTCGTTACATTATTTGTGGCCGCCTTTCCTTTGGCGCCTTTCTTTGCGTTACTTAACAATATATTCGAAATGCGTTTGGATGCGAAAAAGTTGCTGGCCAACCACAGGCGTCCCGTTTCACAGCGTGTGCGTGATATTGGTGTTTGGTATCGGATATTGGACAGCATAGGCAAGCTGAGTGTGATAACTAATGTGAGTAARACGGAAATTATTATTTTTTCTATTCCTAACTGTTGACTTCTACAGGGCTTCATTATTGCCTTTACATCTGACTTTATACCTCGCCTAGTTTATCGTGCAAGTTCTGAGGGTCATACGCTTGCTGGCTATTTGAATTTTACATTATCCGAATATAATATAACGGAATCCGATAATTTGCGTAGTTTAGCTGGTGATGATTCAAATATAAGAACGTGTTTGTAAGTCGATTCAAATAATTAAAGATTTTCATATTCTGCATTATTATTTTCTTTTAGTTATGCTGATTTTCGAGAACCACCAACTTCGCCCCGAAAATATTATTTAACAAGTACATTTTATATCATACTCGCTTGTCGATTGGCTTTTGTTGTGGTATTTGAGGTGAGTCGAAAGACATAATAATATCGATGATAAGTGAAAAATTGAAAAAAACATTAGCCACAATATTGTATAAAAGAGAAAATGACACATAAATAAATTTCCTGCCCAATTCTTGATTTTAACTCTCTTTCAAGATATGTTTCCTAAGAGCACTGTTTTATTTATTTTGGTAGTTTTACATATTTTATATTAAAATTTTTAAAATTTCTTGCTAAATAAATGCATTATTTAATAAACTAAAGGCCCATTACCAAATTGTTGTTTTATGGTGCTACCAAAATGCGGCAAAAATTCGCCATGGATTCACGCTAAATTTAAACTTTAACATGCTGATAAAGTCCAGCTGCTTCCACAATACTCTCTTGTAACGTACGATTCTCATTGACCGTTGCCTTGAGCATTTTGTATAGTGCAAAGATGCCGAATAAAGAGAGCGCATTGAAAACTGTTAATTAAAGATGAAAAAATCAGTGTGTTTAAGTATGTGAAGGCATTTTTAATTTCATTTATTTCACCCATAAATACGCCAAATATCACACTGTGTACTATGCGCCGGTCTAATGCGATTTCCTCTTCGAATTCATTCATTTTAATTTCGATGAATACAAATACTGCTATCTCAATGCCAATCGAAATCGTGGTGTTAATGAGCCAGGGAGTAATGCAAACAAGACGTTGCTGCAATAATAAAAATAAAAAGTATTCATTTATTCTTGGATACTATTTGTAGTAATTATTTCATAACTGTTTTACCTTTCTTATACCATCTATGAGTATGGAAGCGACAACTAAATTAATCAAAGATTTTACCCAAATGGTAACTGCCAGAACCATATAGAAAGCATTGGAGAAGTTATGTATGAATACATAGTCAACTGTAAATTAGAATTTTGCAAACGTGACTGTGTTACATTATTCTTTATAAAAATAATCACTCAAAATTTTATATTTCAAATAGTGTCTTTGGTTATTTGCGGACAATTTGAAAACTTTAAAAATAATTTGAATTAAAAAAAATTCTTTCACTGAGTTAATTTTTTTGCCTTATCTATCGAAATATGAAGGACTATTTTATTWTTTTTATTTTTTTAAGTTTCTAGATTAAAATAAAAGCTTATCTAAAAGCAAAAATTCGTTCGGTTCGTTCAATTTCCGAAACATTGACTGAAAGTCTTTCATGAATGAGTATTACTTTGTAATATTTTGTATATGATTATTGCACATTGTTGATGTTTTTTTGTTTTTACTTTTCAAGAGTTATACTGGAAATATGTTTTTTGTTAGTTAAATATATATGTAAGTACAATCGCTATATTAATAATAAGTTCTTTCTGAATGTTCTCAAAAACTCACCAACAATTGCAATGAGATTACTAAGCGGATTCAATATTTTCACATCGTCCTGTGGCCAATATGACACATGCACATAGTCGGTCCAAAGATAGTAGGAGCACAGTGCTAGCGTGCACAATGCTACGATGATATCAAAGCCGGCAACCACAATGCCAAATGAACGTAAAGTGAAGCAATTAAAACGCTTCATAGTGGACGGGTACGATGGTGGTGTTAGTGGCGCTGGTGTTGCTGCACTTTCTTCAAAGTCCGGCGCAAAAGTATACGAACGTATCTCAAAAAGTGATTTGAGAAAATCCACTTTAATTTTTTATAAAGTTTTAATTTTATTTCATTAAAATTTTTGAAAATATTTCTTGCATTTGACTCGTTGCTAACGCTTTGACGTTTGCAATTGCACTGAATTAAAGTATTCCTATTGTATTTGCCACGACATCAAGACGGCTAATTTTATTTATTTTAGTCCGCTTGGTGCATGCCACTTGTCGCTTCGCATTGTTGAGTGATTAGCGGCTATACGTGGCGTCAGGGCTACAGATGCAGTGAAAGTGCTAAAGTTGAATGATCTGACACACTTCCAGACAGGGCTACCGTTAGGTAGGCGGGTACAGTGGCGAAGTTCTTGCTAGTTTAAAATATGTTAAAATTAAATTATTTCCTTTTAAAAAATTTTGAAAAAGAAAATTGACTAAGCTTATCACATTTAGAATTTTTTAAAGATTTTAGCATATGCAAATATTGGTAATGAGATTTTTTTTAGAAATATAGGAAAATATATAAAAATTTGCAAACCTGAAAATTTTTTAGCTTATTTGGTAAAACTATAGTTCATTTAAAACAACAAAATAATATTTTATTATGCAAAGTATTTGTTCCATATAATCTTACCCCCTTTACTCGTAGTTGTAACTACGCCCACTAGTCGGTGGCCTTAATACCTTTTGAAGGCAAAATTAAAGCTTCTACTAAACAACAACAATTTTAAGCTCAACAAAATTAACAAGAATAATTTTTTTTTTTTAGCTTAAAACSACTCTTGGTTATTTAAATTGTGTTGTGTATAAATAATTAATTGTCATATTTCAATCAAATAGATTAATTAGGCTGGTTAACGATCGGTAAGCCGGTTCTCCAACCACCCACTTTAATGAATTTAAATGCATTTCTATGTCATCAAGCTTAGCACATGACCCCATTTTCCGCTGTGAACATCGAGATTCAGGTAATAATTTTGGTTTAAAGAGTGCTTTCTTTGTAACATTGAATTTTTACTTAAAAAAAGCATACAGGCCAAGCTAATGAAAGTGTTATGAAAAATAAACAAGGAGAGGTTAAGTTCAGACGCATGTTTTCAGGTGTTGACAAAATCTTATGTTAATCAAAATGATGCGTAAGAATTCAGCATTCATTATTCGACGAAACACATTACTACTTGGTCATATATATTTATATTAGAATCAACTAATATATTTAAGGTAATGTGTCAAGTCGTAAATCACTTATAACAATATTGTATAGGGCTAGGGGAAGGTTCGSACTGATTATGAAGGAACTATGGTCTTTCACACATTTTTGATTTCGATTAAACAATATAGTACCTAATTTTCATAASGGCGCATTATTACTAGGAAATTGGCTGTTTTTTTCGGTATAAAGTCAGACATAAACAGTGAGCTTCACATATACGGTACCTGAGTAAAGTTCCGATTTAGTGAAAAAAAATTAGATGGAGTTTAAGACATGTGAAAAGTGGGCGTGTGTTTGTAGTTCACAGTGTAACTTAAGAATGCGAGAGTAATGTTATTCATTAAAAAATTTTTTTTTTAATCGCATATTCCATTCCATACCTCGAAGTCTTGTACCACGGTTTTATTTTTATTTRCGATAGCTTAAACATTTTCGTTTAACGGCATTTAGTGGGCGCYCAACTTCGTCTATTAAAAAATATGTATGTAATTGAGCTAAATAGTAGTTTTACTTTGTTTTCTTTAMATTCTTTACAGAATTTCGTGGCGCTTGTTATGATTTTGGTACGTTGGTGCATACCCGATATGAGCGTTGAGTTGCGCGACCAGATACGACGAGAAGTTTATCTCACAAATGAAATAATTATTGCCAAGGAAGCTGAGCGGGCACGATTAGGTGAGTTGTTATAAAAATATATCGGAAAACTTGTTCTATTAGAAGCAAAATATTTTTTACCGCAATTACAGGGTTGGATAGACGTAGTTGTTCCGTCTGTGGACATGACTATCGTGCGGACACAATGTGAAATACACAAAAAATCTTCCTCGCAAGAGAATCTTTCTACGYTTAAGAAAAAAGTCACAAATATTACTGCATGTAGAAAAAATCTATTTTTAATATTAATATACAAACATGGTTAATGCTGGAAAATGTAATGGCAATTTGTTTTCAAACTTATGTAAATCTTACGTTGGGTCAATTTCGACTCTTTGATTACAACTGACTTTAGWATTTAGTAACAAGTAATCTCCAAAACTATGACTCGGTGCTCTGAAAGCGCTCTAGATCTATGTTAAATCATATGTCTTTAAAATCTCATATAATTATACATAYACGTATTTACTTGGACTTTTTGCAACTGCAAATGTTTTGTTAGTTAGGTGCTAAATATTTATTTAAATTTTTTATTTRTATCTTGTTAGTTATTACTGAAGTTTCACATCCTCAGAGTCGAGCAGATATATTATGCTATATGCTATATGTTCTCAGTGTGCAAATATAGATATTAATTGTTAAAAAACTCACTGTTAGAAGTATTTAATATTAATGTGTTAAATAGGAAATATAAGTTACTATGTTGCAACTTTTTATTTGCTTTAGAAGGGCAATTTATGAATATAAGTTCTTGGAATATAGGAATATGGAACTCTTTTAGCTTGGTTATAGAGATAAAAATAAAATTTACTTTCTTATATTGTAAACTTTTTTTAACATTGGTAATATTTTTCGAAAACTAAGCCTGAATTTGAAATGTGTTCCTAGTACAGCTAAAACATTTATTTTGATATTTATCAAATAATTTTCACAAGAAATACTTATTCAAATATTTAACCGAKACTGTGGTTTAAAATTGAAGGAGTTAATTGAAAATAAAAACCGCCGATAAATTCCTACATATGTATGTATGTACACTGGGATGAAAATGAAAACTGTYAAAGCTTTCAATTACTGTATGCAATTGTACTTTAGTTAAATATTTTTATATTGTATTAGTTTCTCTGTAAAATTTATTGAAATATTATTTATTCGTGTTAATTAAGGGGTGAAAGTTTTGTTTAATTAGATATGCTACCATTGACTTAATTTTTTATATTTAAATTTTAATATCAAATTTAAATAATTTGTGATATCTAAAATAATATTTATATTGAAATAAAGTTCTTTGGATCAAATTTATGAGTATTTTTTCACTTCYCAAACTCATTCGACAAAAATCTCAAGCTGACTTTAATTTGAAAGTTCATTTAAGCTATTTCAAAAACGAATTATTATTTTATGCTTAATATAATATGCTTTTGAGCAAATTCTAGTTAAAGTAAAAAGTAAAAAACGCTGCAAGCAATACAAAATATAAGTATGTACGTAAGCGTCGGGATTCTCGAGAGACACAAGCATAACTGGCAACTACATACAAGCGCTTAGAAAAATGTTCAAATGCCGTTTCTTCATTTACATGCAGTCATATATCTGTACATAAATTTGTCATAAGCGCCAGTAGAAATAAATGCATCCATAGTAAGCAACGTATTGTTATGGTTGTTGCARATGACGATGTAGACTGGCCATAAACCCCCTTTAATTACGGATATTCTATATATTTGAGTTCATTGTCGCCTACGAAAGAAAAAAATACAAAGGTGTATACTGTTGTTGTTTCTTGTTGGCAATTCGAATTGACGCCATCATCTGGCACATGCTGTGCAATATAATGACGTCAACAACTTTAGGTTGTGATGTATGTACTATATTCTTTGTAGTGGTGTCGCCAATATTGAGAGCTCGCCGCGTTGCACTMTCAGTATTTTGTGTCATCATACGGTCGACATTTTCGGTTTGTCGTATTTTGATGGCATTGCTTCTTCACCGCACGCTTTTCTATAATTATTTGTTGTCAATGCTTTGGTTAAAAATGTTTAACTGGCTGTTCATTTGTACACATACATATGTGTATGTATGTAAATTCCGAGTTTAGCCATTGCCGCATTTCGTCGATAAGTGCTTATTATGAATATACATACTCTTTTAGTCYCGTGGCAAATAATTCTAGTTTCAATAATTTATTCAGCCTATAAATGGGTGAGGGCGGATAAATGTATGTGCTTCGATATATACATACGTATTTAAGGAGCTGTTACAAATACAGTAATGCACTTTCTAATTTCCTATAGGGTCATTTATCCTGACGCACGCAGACGCTCTGTACACAGAAAATTCAAAACAAAAAATGTCTTGAAAGCAAACACCAAATTAAGAATACTCAACGAAAACAAAATAACGAATTGCAATGCCGTCTGTCGGCAGGTCAGAAGTTGGCACTCGAAACAGTTTAGAAATTGTTGACGGCATTGCTTTTCCGAATTCGCGGAAGTTTACGAGGACAACGCATCAGTTTAGTTTTGGGTATTCTGGCGTAAACACTGAACACCGAACCACACGTCAAAATATAATTTTTATAAGCAAAAATTTAACAATGTAAATGTTTATAGGGAGTGAATTTGAATTTCATGTAGGGCAATTCGGAATATATGTACCAATATCGAATTTTAGCGATTAACGTTGTAAAACCGGTAAATATAGCAAAAAAWTTGCTGAGATAAATTAATGAAATATTATAAATAATAAAACTGTTAAAGCAAACAAACGCAGACTTTAGCTAAACAAAAGGACGAACTGTGCAGTAGTGAGATTTGTAAATATATGTATGTACATACGTGTGAAACTTAAGATCAAAAAGTGCAATTCATTGTCCGTCATGCTGCACACAAATGCATTCGAATTATATAAGTATACATTTGTATGTATGTAGTTTAATATACCCATGATTTCACAGTCTAATTAAATAAGTCATGCTGTGAGAAAATATTACACCAATGCAAAGTTGAATTTACGCAGGCTATTGTAAAGCAACTGCAAGAGCAAAAAAAAATATATATATATAAATAAAAACAGCAACAATAAAGACACGAGACGACACATCAACGAAGGACGCCAACACTCAGGTTAAGGAAAAGCAGAGAAAATAAATGTAAGTGAGTGCGAATGCCGGCTCGGTTACACGTGCAACATGAGATGTGCGTTCCGAGCATTCTCTTATACACATACATATTAGGGAGGCATAACTAAAAGCCGTGTTCAAGCAGATTTGTTTGTTTAAAAAAATTGAAAACCTTTGTCAAATAGTACAATCTACAGAAATTATTGTATTTCTGAATTACATTCGATGATATATGAAAATATATATGTGTGTATATTGTGCTGTATTGATTTTTAAAGAGGAAATACTAGCGCACGATATGTAATCACGAAATTTGTCCTTGTAAAGCAAGTTTTATTTTGTCAATAATTGTTACTGCTTTGTACTGAAGTTGCGCCAAGTCCTTTTCATTCTAATTCTAATTTCTCGGGCTATAAATTGCTTTTTTATTGCCGCTGTCGATTTTCGCGCATTTAAGGTTTGATTAATTTTATTTATTTTTCGCTTTGACGCACCTGCAGGCACCCCCCCCAAACATATTGGTTGCGTATACGCACTGGTGTACATTTGTCCTCTTCAGACTTTTTAGTGCATTYGATCTTGATCTTCTGTTCTGGTCCTAGTTTGACGTTTTAGAATTTTTAGTTTAATTAACTGCCGTGTTTGAAAATTATTTTAACATGAACTCACATCTGGAACGTATTGGATTGATCAGGTTTGGTCTGATTAGCGATGGTTGATTCTGGTGACAGTGTTGTTTATTTAGACTAAGCAAATTTAGAAATTTGTTCGTCAATTTAGTCAAGCCTTAGCAATAGACTAGTTATGTATGTGTAGATATGGCAGCAACTCCTTTTCTTACATAGAAATTTCAATCATCCAACAAGGGAAAGAATTTATCGCATCTTAGAGCTTATATCCATCGTACTTGTCTCTTTCGTAATCAGCTTATGTTTACAATTTATTCAAGAAGCTGCGATTCCTCTTTTGTCTTCATTTCTTACAATTGCTTGGCGCCATACATATTTGAAATAAGTAAATTAATAAAAATCAACAACATATGTATGTATGTATATCGACGTCAACTATTCACGCACACGCTCTCCACACTGTTGACAKTTATTTGCACGCAATCAACATTCAGCCTTAACAGCTGTGTAGAAATGGCGGAGCATTCTCAGGACATTTACTGTAAGTCAAACGCATTAGAAGTAAGCTTTATTTAAAAGCGTATAAAATGTAATTTTTCTTTGTCAGTTAAAAACGATTGAGAGATGAGTGTAATAATAAAGAATATAAGACTCCAAAATTTTGCTATAATTATGTCGCTGGTGTATCAYGAACAGAGTTATCATAAGTAAAGTTGATTGGTTGGTTTCTTCGAATGATCAAATTTTTTGAATCCGATAGGAAAAAGAGCTACACCAGCTCAAGGGGACAATCTGAAGATTTCCATGTAAATCATAGAAATGTTAGGAAAGCGATTTCATATCCATTAACAGTTGCAGGTAGAGCAGCTTTTTTCCATACACTATGCAAAAAAGAGTATATGCTAGTGGTTGATGTACTGTTTTTTATTTTTATTTTTATTTTTGTTGCAATGAATTATGTCGCTTTCTTGTGTGCGTGCATTATACATGGACTTGACGCAAATTGTGTCCTTGTGTCTATTTTTACTTGTACGTTAAAATCAACAAATTTTACATATTTAAATTAAAATGGGATGCATGTAGGTTTCCAATAAAGCCACGATAACATACCCATACAGAAAAGCATTCATACGAAGAATAACAACAGCAGTTTTACTCATCAACCCAATCAGCTATGAAAAGCTTTGAAGTGTGCCACGTTAGCACCAAACGGTTTTCAAATCGGATCAAAACTATTCGAGCCCTGAAATATCAACAGTGTGGACGCCCATTTATAATGCCAACTTTTCATTCAAAATATCGTTCAATCTGGGAGATATATTATAGAAATTTTGAAGGTATTGCATCTGATCAATAATTCTCTTAGCCCTATATACTCGTACCTAAGAGAAAGATTTTCGAACTTTCTTCTTAAAATATTGGGAGAGAGCGTGTTTTTCTAATAGCGGTGCATTTGTATGACTAAAATGAATAAAATAATCTGAAATCTTGTACTAGATCCCATATAACTAATACACCTTATGTTTCTTTACTGGTGTAGAGAACGCTTACGGATATAACGGAATTAAACCTAGCGCACCAGCYATTTCTTCTTTTCTCTATTTGGTGCCAATTCGAAATACCAAGTGCAGCCAGATCCTTCCGCACCGGATCGCTCCAACCCAATGAAGGKTCCTCTACTTCCAACGGTCGGTACTGAGTCTAAAACCTTCAGGGTTGGTGTGTGTCGATTTTCCTTTCATGGGTCCTTTTCAAGATTTGACGGTGGGCTTCAGTCTTTCACACACTATGCTCACTAATACCTTACATGCGATATTACGGAGGTAAATACCTCGGGTATTTGGTGCAGATTGTGGAGTCCCTCTGTTGTCCAGCTTGTGAAGCTCTTCATGCTCATACATTTAATTTTTTTCTTACTTTTTTCTTTTAATACCAAGTGAATATATGTATTTTATATATATGAAATTCGGAGAAATCTAAAATGGTATGACTAATAGTATCGAYGTTTCCATATGGACTGGAATGTAACAGCAAAATTAAAGCAAATTAACAGTGTTGTGTGAAATTAATCAAATTCAAAAATTTCACTTTGAAAGTGAGTGCCAAATTGCCTAAATAATGTTGACATTAACAATTATTAATTTATTCCTATTTTTACATAATTTATGTAAAGTTTATTTGTACGTTGTTTATTGGCTAGGTGAACCGATCAAGCGGAAGTGTTGATTGCGGGCAAATACAGACCCGAGTGTGTCACATACCTATATTTTGGTTTTGTGTGTGTGGATAGTTGCTTACCAGAATCGTGAAAATTTGAAATTGAACTATTTTATAGACGAAATCGATTCTCTTGGTATTAAAATCGGAATTTTCCCGAAGTAACCCAACTTACTGATAGATATTTTGAATGAATTTTCTTTGTCCACTTTGCGCTTGCGTTGCTATAYTAAATCTTTCATGCACCATAATTCGAATTTATTTGTTACCTTTTCGTAGTTCGMATATTATATGAGTTCACAGAATACAAGTTTATTTATATTTCAAACTGGACAAGTCAATGCCAATCAAGTCACTCCAAACTTTGGGCTTACCCTCTATACACTTACTTCTAAATTGTTCTAATTTCAATTTAAGGTGTTAATTTACGAAAAGCTTTTAGAAATCAATTACCATAATATTTATTAATTAACGATTAAAGGAGTAGTAACAAAACGGTGCTTTTTGTGTGTACCATATGGTTGATTTTTATTTGTTTACCACAGCTATTAGTTTTATGTGGCATGAATATTTTCACAATTCTCCTTTCAAGATTTTAATAGATTTTAATTGAATTGTGTGCGCAATACTTTTGTCAGAAATTACTCAAAATTTCGTCATATAATGGACTGTATTACTGGCTCTAACGTATATAATAATCAATTTACTTGAACTTAGTGTCAGAGAGATTCACSGAATCCAAAATAATTGATGGATGCGAGGTGTGTTCAAAAAGTATCGCGAATTTTGAATTTTCGCGGGTTACGTAAATTCGAATTTCGAATTTTTGTGGCGTTATGTTGGTACTCATGTCTCTCACTTATGCCGACAAGCTCGGCCATTTTGAATGTTCATTTAATTGTTGACAGGGGCTTTGCTTGCACGTGTTTTGGATCATCTTCGATTTTTACCTATTCAAAAAAATGGATCGGAGAACTTGAGAACCTAAGAATGTTGACTGTGGCATACGGAGAAGCTACCTTGGACCGAAGCAACGTTTATCGGTGGTACAAAATGTTCTCAGAAGGAAGAGAAGATGTGACAAAAATARACTTTTGCACCACGATAACGCCCCTGCTCACACATCGTTGCTTGTACGCGACTTTTTGGCCAAAAACAACACACTAATGATGCCGCAGTCACCGTATTCCCCAGATCTGGCCCCCTGTGACTTTTTCTTGTTCCCTAAACTGAAGAGGCCCATGAAAGGACGACGTTACGMYTCTCTTGACGAGATAAAGACGGCATCGAAGGAGGAGCTGAAAAGATAAAAAAAATGATTTTTTGAAGTTCTTCGAAGATTGGAAAAACCGTTAGCGCAAGTGTATAATATCTAATGGGGATTACTTGGAGGGGACAAAATAGATATTCATGAATAAATAACTAATTTTTGAAAAAACACAAAATTCGCGATACTTTTTGAACACAGCTCGTATATATGTATACATACATACGTATGATTCTAAGCGTTTCAAATTCATTTTCCATTAATAATATTGTACTCTACATCCGTAGCCTTATTTACTTTAATGGCTGAATRAATTTTGAATATTTGTTAATTCATAATCATGCGTGCAATTTCGTCTTTTTGAGCACGTTACAATAGTAATGCTAGTAGGTCGCTTTCCTTTTATTGAACTAAAAAGTTTGGTAAATAAATTTCGACAATCGGCAATTTTTCAAGGAAGTTAAACGGACTTATTGCCTAAGATCTTAAACCATAAACTTTTCATCATAAACACTTAATTGTACGTACATGCGCACTTGAAAATCTGGCAATTGGTTTGCCAATTATTTAAACGTAACTAGAAAATAGAAAATTTATTTTTGGCTCGAAGTGAGAAGAATATATCGACYAAACTTAACATAATTTATTCTGGCAAAAACTGAGAAACGTGCTAGTCGGAATTTTCGAAAAGAACACATCTCGAGAGAAGAGTGCAAGGTTGTGCCCCAAAATACTAGTTGGTATGCATGTTCTTTACATATGTACATATGTATGTACTCTAAGTATATGTTGTTGCCAATTTTGCGATTGTCTTTAGGACAACGCATTGCCATTTTGTTACCGAACTTCACTCTTTCCAAAGAAGGAATTTTATTAAGTTTATCGGTTTCCTTTTTTAAGGAATACTCGAATCAGTTAACGGCTAACAAATAACTTATTTGAGTGGGATAGCATATCCTTTGTGTTTTAAAGAAGTATCCACATTCTCTGTTCTCTTCAATACCTTTGTAAGTAAAACATTGGAGGACTTACATATCATTCGAAAACCATTAGCGTTTTATTTCTTCTTACCTACTTGATTTGCTTGCGGAAATTTATAAATTCTCTGCTTCTACAGAGAAATTGCAATAAAGGGGCTGGTTGCTGCACTTATAAACGTTTTGTATACATTTGATTTATACAATATATTTAAATGTGCGGTTGTAAAATTGCGCCTGAATAAGTATACGTAGCTACATATGTATATATGTAGAAAATTGACACAGGTCCAAAGAGCTGCACTCCGCGGATATTTAAATTTAGCTGTTGGCAGATTTGCTTTTTTATCGCCACTAGGTAATTCATTTCTGAAGGTCGTTGTCTTTTGTTAGCTCGAATCTGGAAACACTCATTGCGTCTTGGAGTGTTTTTATTGCTTATAATTTATTGCTATATAAATTACTAATTATATATTATTGCTTATAAATTACTGTTTATAGGAAATGAAGCGTGTCGCATTTTATATCATTTAAAAATGGAGCAATACACAAATTTATTTCAGTGAATTTTGATGGAAAGTACCTAAAAGTTACCAAAATAGCACAGTTAGTGCTCATTGAGCCCAAAATACAACAGGGCTGCACTCCTACCTAACTACCTTACCAAAAGTTTGAAGAACGATGTTTTGGAAAGAATACTTTAACTGTAATAACGTAAATGTCTACATACATATGTATGCGTATATATGMGAACCTTTATGTCTTATTACATTTCTTTGAATTGCATTGTCTGTRTATTTTTACCACCCTAATGTTTATATCGTAAATATATGCATATATGTATATATGTACATACATATGTATACGCTTTGTATAACATTGGACCATTTTCTGCACAATTAATGCTGAGAAAATATATGTATGTAGTTCAGTGAACGAAATTACACTGATAATAATAGATAATTCCTCTATTTACCATATTTTTATACTCCAGCAACATGCTGCTATAGACTCTGGTAGTTTTGTTCACCTAACCTAATCGTTGTTTGTATATCCTAGAACTAATTGAGTATATATCGAATTATGTGTGTATAAGTATAAATG